TAACTAAGCAAATGTATGATGATGGGTTCGTTCTTTACCAATATCTGAGGGATGTACCAGATGCACAGTTGAAATCTCTGCCACCTTCCTCCGTTTTTCCGAGATGCCTGAGCCTGGCCTAGAAATAAGACCCGGAAGACAAAGTCACGTATTCTAGGGAGTCCTCAGAGCCAATCCCGTTGGCCTCACCTATTCGCACAGCATTTCCACTCTGTCCCCTTTACGGTCCACACCCCCGGGCAGCCTCCTGGAATGTTCCTGACCACTGCTTCTGATCAGGGAGCTGCTCCCTTCCTCCTGAGGATGAGTCACTACGCTGCTTGCTTGCTTGCTTTCCATTGTGCTTTTTTTAAGTTCAAAAAAAGAAATGTGTCAAATTTAAAACTCAGCACAGCACATCTATTTAAAGCACGGAGGAAGAAGCCTTTGAGTGATGTGCAGAACGTGAAGCCTTTAGAGCCTAGAAGGCCTCAGCCCCGGTCTTTCTCATGCTTCCTAAGGCCTGGACTTGAAAGGCAGGCATGTGCTTGCAGTCTGAGCCCTTTGGGCTGGGACGGAGAGGTAAGCCTCTGCAAGGGCGGGTGAGGGCAGGCAAAGCCTTGCCTGAAGGCAAGCCCTGGGGACAGTTTCCAGCCACTGCGCCCTTGAGGCCCACGAGACCCGGGACTGGCAGCCCCGTCAACGGAAGCGTCTCAGACAGAGGCAGGCCGACAGCTGTGTGCACGCACCTGCATGTTTGCTTACAGCTGGTCACAGGGCCACATGGGTGTAAGGCCGGAGACCGGGGCAGAGGTTTGAGGAAGGGGACAGGAATAGCTCCCCTCAGTCACCTGCTCGCCTCTACTTTCCAGCTACCCGATTCTTGCCTCTGAACAGTTGCAGAGCAGGGGTGCTCCGGGAGGCTGCTGGCACCTCAGGACCAGTGGAGGAAGGTCTGTCACCTTGGACCTGCTTCCTTCACTCTGCTTCCCAGACACAGTCCCCCTAGACCTGCTGTAACAATGAAGCCCTCGTCCCCTCTGCCCTGAGCTACCGGCCATGGCCTTGCCTCCCTCTACAGCAAAACTCTCTGGAACACACGTTTCTGAGGCAGAATTGACAGCTAGTGGATGGCCTGGTAGGCCTGTGCCGGGCATGCATCCCAGGAGGCTGCACGGTGTCCTTCCGCAGAGGTCTTCATGACAGAGAGGTGTCTTTCCATCCCACCACACCTGTCCACCTTCCTGAGTCGAGCGACGCCTGGCCCGAAGTAGGCCACAATAAATGCTTTCTGAGCAATTCATTTTTCAGAATAGTTGACATATTGCAATAAGGCAGAGGATGCATCATGTGACTTCAGAGTTCACTGGTTCTGATTATCCCACTCCGTCTGAGAAGGCGTTTTTGCCAAAATTGCACATATGTTCCTTAAAAACACACACAGTTGTTTTCTGGTGGAACTGTTCCCTCTCCCAAACCATCAAACGCTCCGTGTGTTAGACTCCAGAACACTCTCTTGTGGTTTCAGTTCTTCTCATGCCTCAGAGAACTCTCTTGGTAACTCAAAGAGGTGGCTCTTTCTACATGGCTTTGAAGAGGGCAAGGGGGCACTGGGCTCTAGAAGGGTGACGGCGGCTTTACTTTTCCCTCGCAAGCACAGGAATCAGTGGCCAAGTCCGGGCAAACAGAAGGGATTCTGGGACCACACAAAGTGCAGAGACACATACAGCAGATGGCAGGGACTTCAAAAGCCTAAGAGTCACCTTGAAAGATAATGGCACCAAGGGAGGGGGTGGGAGGCTTTTGTACCCTCTGACAACAGGGAAGCAGGGAAGACAAAAGCTATTTGCCAGACTTGTGTGCGTGTCTATAGAACTGAGCAATGGTTCTGCTATAATTTACATCAAGGGAGGCTGAGCCTCCTGTCGTTGTGTCCAGAAATAAATGGCATCAATCAGCTGACAAACTGTTTCTTTTGCCTCCTGATCTTCTGGTCTTTTTTTTTTTTTCCCTTTTTTCTTTTTTCCTTTTTCTTTTTTTTTCTAAGCACACGGAACATTTAAATTCTCTCTATGCAGGCAGCCAATGTGTAACAATCTCCTTCCATTCACTAGGCCCCAGAGAAGCTCTAACTGAGCTCCTGACAGATGCCCACCCGTGAGGCACTGGCATGACCGGGGAGACATGTCTGTCTCTGGCCCTTGGCGGGGCTGGGGGTTGCCATGGGGCAAATGTGGATTCATGTGAATGGGGAGTTCCAGGCTCCGACTGCCAGGGGTGGGAAGTGGAAGGGGATCCCCATGATGCCCTCACACTTAGCCCCGTGCCAGTCTGCAGGCCTTATGTACATCTGAGAGGTGGGCAGATTTGGGGTACATGAGGCTACATCAGTCACCCCCAGGTCACAGAACCAGGCTGGAAGACCAGTCTGACTCTGAGACTGAACCTTCGTCCTTGCTGCCGGCTTCACTTTGGGTCAAAGCCAGGGTGAGCAGCAGGTGGGGAGGCCAACAGATTTTCAATGGACGCTAAAAGAAGTGTTTGTTCCTGGCTCTGAGAAAGAATATGAGAAAGGTCAAAACTGGCCTTTCCGGCTCCGAGGAAAGCTAGAGGGAAGAGCAGCAGGGGCCACTGGCCGTGCTCTCGTGGCGTGGAAGCCCAGCCTGCCGGGGCCAGGCTGCTGGCGGCACGGGGCCTCTGTCATCCCCCTCGAGCATCTGCTCCTCTCTGCGGCGTGGGCCTCAGCTGCTCGTGAAAGGGATCAAGCCTCAGAAGCCTGTTCTTCTTCTTTGAAGCTGACAGCTTGATGCCTGTGGAAACGCGATACTATTTCAGGATTTCATTTGAAAGAGGCTTCAAAAGAGTGAATCGAAGGCTCCGCGGAATTGCTTATTATGGCTCTCCTCCCGGGCCGCAGCTCAGTTGGTGAGCCCAAACACGGCCTCCGTGGTTTGTGCACGTCATCCACAGGCAGGTGATGTTCTAAATTAGCATCTGGCTCATTCTGGAGGGCTGTAACTCTTCTTGAGCTTTTTCCCAAGAAGCAACCGGGACTTTGACAGCTTGTGCCTTGCTTGCATGGTCTGTGTTTGAAATGATCCTCCAGGAAGCCGATCAGGTGAACTACATGAGCCTCATCCAATATTAAGCACGGCTTAAAGATGCTAAAAATAAAGGTCATGAAAAGGCTTCTCTAAAACCAGGATGGCTGTGACCACCTCCCGGCCCCAGCCCCTCAGAGGCACAGGGGAGCAGCGGCCTTGCGGGCACGACGGGGCTGGGCAGGCAGCGCGGGGGAAGCGTGGCGCGGGGCCACGCCATGTGCCGCGTGGGCAGGAGCCGGAGGCCAGGCCGCCTGTGCGGTCTCTGAGCTCAGCACCGACGCCAGCGCTCCGGGCAGGGCCTGCCATCCGGCCCACGTGGCCCTGTCTCTCTGACGCTGCCCCCGCCACACTAAAGCACGCTCATCTTTTCACACCAGCCTTCCTTGCTGGGCCGAGGTCCTTGAGCGCCGAGTCACGTCTCCTGTATTTTTGTGTTCCCACACCTGGCACAGAAAGTGTGCAACATGTGCTGACATTAATAGGGAAGGGAAAGGAGAAGGGGAGGAGAAGTCCACGGGAGCAGAAACTGCCAGATTCCGGGGTTTTCCTGGATGGCACTCCCCCCGTGCCCCAGCCAGGAAAGTACTGTGGCTTCAAGAATTGGAAACAAAAGTCTCCAGGTCGCAGGTGCATGGTGCGTGTACACCATGGAGCCCAGCCTCCGGGCACTGAGCCGTGTTACTTGGCTATCTCTCCCTTGGACTCAGCCCGAAGAGAGGTTCTTCAGCAGGAAGCATCAGGAACACAAGGCCACCCTGCTTCTCCTGCTTCAGGAAAAATGATCGATACTGCTTGATTCTGATGGGCACCGGGCACCTCTGTGTCCCCTCCAAGCAGCCAGAGCATCAGCTTTCTCTACCTTCACATAAACTTCTGAGCCAATGATCCACTGGGCATGTTCCCACTTCAGAGGCACAGTCGTCACACATCTACCCTGTCACCCTCCAGCTGCTGCAGCTCACCACTTAACCGCCAGGGGACGGCTTGCCCTCTGAAGTCCAATATTCAAACTCTTCCCTGTCTCCCGCCCCCCCTACGCATACCCCAAGGTAAGACGGTGCCCAGAGAGAAACTCCATTCAGCGGAACATTGGCCAAAGACCGTGAGGCTCTGTCCTGTGAGGCTAGGTCCTTGCTCGACATTCCAGGCCTCTGGGCACACCTGCCTGAAAGCCAAGAGTGATTCCAGGGGAAGGGCTCGAGTCGCCAACCTGGCTCTGTGCTAAGACCAGAAGCATCGGGATCCCTGGGTGGCGAAGCGGTTTAGCGCCTGCCTTTGGCCCAGGGCGCGATCCTGGAGACCTGGGATCGAATCCCACGTCGGGCTCCCAGTGCATGGAGCCTGCTTCTCCCTCTGCCTGTATCTCTGCCTCTCTCTCTCTCTCTCTCTCTGTCTCTATCTCTCTGTGTGACTATCATAAATAAATAAAAATTAAAAAAAAAAAGACCAGAAGCATCATCTGTGCAGGAGCACACCATGCATCTAGCACCTCTATTCTCCTCTTGTGGCTCCCCCGAGTGCAGGGGGGAGGTACTGCTCGTCTGCCAGGGTGGTCACCCCACGCGGAGGTAGGGGGTACAGGCCTTCCTGAGGGACTCCCTGCTGCTCCAGCCCTAAAATAACAGTTGGCCCAGCCCTAAGAGCTGGCACCTCCCCTGCCTTTTTGTGTGTGTGCTATATTCCAAAAGATGTGTGATTTTTTTTATAAGGCAGAAGAAATCTCTAATTCATAAGAAGCCAGGATAAAATCCTTGAAGATCGCAAGCCAAAGTTAACTGCAAGCAATTTTCTAAATCTCAAAAAAAAAAAAAAAAGCAATTTTCTAAATCTCGGCAAGAGAGGACTCTGTTACACAAAGGTAGCTATGCCACTAAAACAAGAGGCCTAGAAAGAAAGCAAGGCACAAGAAAACCAAACTTCCACAGAATGAGTTGTTCTATTTGGTAAACAGTCTGGTCCACAGAGAGACTGTATCCCGTTAGGATGTCCCCCTTGTCAAGGTCCACTCCTGCTGCTGGAAGGATCTTCCCATCTTCAGATGTGGCACTAGCACATCAGACTGAGTGCGGTCACTCAGCAAGAGCCAATTTAAGCTGGCTTCTCCATTCACACTGCACTCGAAAGAGACTAATTTCCAATTCCTCTTCAGACTCCAAGAGCAGATGTTGCGGCAAATGTTACAGCGAAGCGAACCCAGACAGCGATCCCGTGGCACTCCCTGGGGCGCACAGGACTCCTCGGCTCGTGCTATGGCTTGGACAGACACTGGTTTCAGGTCTACTGCTGCCCCCTCCTCCCTGCCAGGGTTTCTGATGGGACATGCTTTTGTATCAACACAGGGGATCTTGGAGAACAGGAGAATGTTCCCAATGGGGCTAGGGGGCAAGTGACAGCCTCAGAGCACTGAGGCCCTATTGCATCTGGCAGCCTGAATTGGGCAGCAGCTCCTGCAAATGAGAAGCCACTGCCTTCGTTAGGTAGGTCATCGTCCCATAAGCCCCACTTGGAGCACTGTCATAAAAGAAGTGGCAAATGCCCGTGGCTTGGTCTTTCTCCAGGGTGTCTGTGGCGCCAAGTGACATCTGCAGCAGGAAAAGACCAAGGCAAAGAATGAACAGAGTTCTCTCTCTGACCCTGGGATTGACTGGACATGCTAGAAGCCAGGGTGTCGGGGACCAGCAGCCCCCAGAGAAGGGCTCTAAGCCCAAGGACAGGAGCCAAGAGTGCCCGGGGAGGACACCCAGCCTCTCCTCCAGGTACTACGCCGTGCTCCTGCATGTCCTAGTCTGCAGCGCGATACTGACCCTGTAAGAAGAAGACAGCTCCTCCTACCTGACTGCTGGGCGCAGGGTAAGTGATTTGTCTACCAGGGTCACACCCATAGCAAGAGTGGTGTTCACACTACAACCACTGCCAACACGAGTCTATCCATTTCCAAAGATCTTTAGATTTCCCAAGTGGCCACTGTGCCATTTTCTAACCAAATGGTTGACATTTTTTCAGCATCTGTGATGCCATTTTCTTTGAGAATATTCTTTCCTATTGGACACAGAATCCTCAGCCTCGGCAGAGATAAATGCCAGCCAACCTGCTACCTTGCTTCTGTCCCCACCTTGGCTGGGGTTGGGGGTATGAGTGGGCAGGCCTGGGCATACCCACCTGGTCCTGCAGAAACAGCTGGTTGGCCATCTGCACGATCTGGTCCACGTGGATGATGCCTCCGATGCTGTTCATGTCGGTGTCTGAGAGCAACGTCAGCACCATGATGGCCTCCACCAGCAGCTGCCGGTACTCGGGCTGTGGCACGCGGTTCAGCACCGCCTCGACGTGGACGGCAAACTTGATTTCCTGTGGGGTCATCTGTCAAAGGCACCAGCGAGGGGTCAAGAGGGAGCCGAGGCCCACCAGCACTGCTGGCTACCAGCACTGGCCACAGCACCCACCGGGCTTGGCTCAAGTGCTGCCTCCTTTTTGGCCACCTTCTTGATTCCACCAGCCAGAACCCTTGGGAGCAGATGACCGAGGACCTCGCAGTGGGGGTGAGCTGGCCTTGTCCTAGCTTGATTTACCTACCCACTAGACTGGGACATCCAGGGGACAGGGCCCTTTGCTCATTCCTCTTTCTCCATCATCACTCCCTGTGGCATATAGCACTGGGTCTTGGGCGGGGTAAAAACTAAAAACCCCATTGGTAAAGAATGAATAGGGGAAAGGAAACCAGAAAGATGACTGTTCTCGACAGAGGGGTTGGAGGAGGCTGCACAAGGGTCCAATGTGTGTGGCGTGCAGTTTTGCTCTTCTCTCTTCAGAGTGCTTTAAAGGGCAAATGTAAAGCTCTTGACAGTCAGATATGTGGTTTCTGAGGGGACAAAGAAAAGGTGATGCTAACAAATGTGGGAAACAACCTTGGCAAATTGTGAGGGTGTAGTGGCTAAAGAGATGGGCCTACAAATGGCCTGTCTGGTTGTAGCACACTTGGAAGAAGTGGGAGCGGTTGGAGCCCACGACATAAAGCACTTGGGGGAGACCCGCAGTAGGTGGGCGCTGGGGTCTTCCCATCATACCTCTCTCGTCGTTGAGGATGGGAGCACGTAACCATCGATGGACAGACCGTGGCACTGGAGGCAGAACACACATAGGACAGTTCAGTCAGATTCCAGAGCCTGATTAGTAAGTGTGCACACACGTTCGCACGCGTTCAAGTCACTCTGCTCTGGAAACCTGCATGAAGGCTGAACACGCCAGACGGTCAGAGTTATTTTTAGAGAGCTTGTTCTCACTGCCCACAGGCTGTGTTTTCGATGGAGCAATTCTAGGGAAGCAGCAGGCATCTTTTAGATCTTGCACGAACAATGCCCCAGGGAGCTGCTGGGTCCTCCTCTGTGGAAGCTCTGTATTACACTTGGCAACCAGGCCCTGGCGGCTGTGAGGCCCCCTTTGGTGCCATATAAAGGGAGATTTTCATGGCTCCTGCTGGCGAAGTGATACTTCTGTGCCTTTGCAGGCATCTATTTTTGAGATTACTATAATAAGCACCAATCACAAAAGACGCGAGCACATGCACAGACATGCACACGCACGCCCGTGTATATAAATATCAAGCGCCGGCTCAACACAAAATGCTGCTTTTTCATAATAAGAGTGTCTTGGTATTGAACTAGAAGAAGTCTAGATGGAAGCGTATGATGCCCCGGTAAGAGTGGGGAGATTTTCTAGGAAGTTCATTCTAGTCTAATTGGCTGCCTTCTAAATCCCCGTGCCCTGGTGGGCTGAGGACAGAGACAGCAAATGCCTGCGCCTCCTGAGCAGAGGTGGAGAAAGGAGGAGCAGAGGCTTGTGGGTGCTGAGGGCTCTGCTACCATGTGGGGACAAGCTGCCAGACGACAGGGACCATTCTGACGTCCCCATGCTAGCCCCATAAAGACCTCAGTCCCTACAAAGCAGAGATGCTAAACCTCCCTAATGGACCAAGGGCCCTTGCCACAGAAATAACACGGCTGGGAGGTGCTAGGGCTTTGGGAAGGGGGTTGTAGTATGTGCTCATTTGGGATTACTATCCTCTCCTCTCCTACTGTGAAATGAACTAACAAAAATAGTTTTAAGAAAAAAAAATAGTTTTAAGAAAAAAATCGGTCCTGCCCATGGTTCTTTATTTGCATCAAAGCTTTTAACTGAGGCGGTCCGCGCCTGGGTGTAAGGAAAGACCAGCTGGGGCAGGACCAAGGGGGACACACAAGTGCTCTGGGGCAGGTGCCACAGGGAGCCAGGCGTCCAGCAAGTGCAGAGCAAAGGGGTGTGGCTTCCGCCGGTGCCCCCTCCTCGGTCACAGGCACAGACAGGCTCTGCGGTGTTCCTGTGTGGCCACTGAGGCCTGTGGCTTCCCTGACCTCTGCTAATATCTGCACATCCCCAGGCAGCTGTCTCATAGCCACAGGCATAGGGGGCAGCCGGCTAAGGGGAGTGGCTCTGGGGTCCCCATTCTCTAGGTGGAGAGGCAGAGGCAGCCCAGGTACGTGGGGATTGTGCCTCAGGGCACCTGGGACCTGACACGGTGCCCTGCAGATAGGAGGGTATCACTGAAAGGTACAGACAGCGCACCTGCCTGAACGTGCAGGAGGCTAAGGCCTAGGGTTGCCATTCCAGGTTGCCTCTGTCACAGGGCTGTCATCCGAAGCCTTCTCTGCCTTCTACAGCTCTTATCTATCTTCTTTCCTATGTCCCTGAAATATATGTCAAAGGTGGTCCCACAAAACTTGGGCTGCCACTTGATCTAACTTGCTGTGGTTTCAGCCAGCAGCTTTCACCCGGGACAATTTGCTGCCCAGGGGACACTTGGCAACGTCTGGAGATAGTTGTCACAACCGTGGGTGAAAGTGGGGGTGCTACAGGCATCTAGCGGGTGGAGGCTAGGGATGTTGCTTGACGTCCCACAACACACAGAAGAGCTTCCACAAAAAAGAACTACCCGGCCCTGAGTGTTAGTGGTGCCAAACATCAGCGGTGAAGAAACCCTGCTCTAGGCTGGGGGCTCCCTGAGCTTGGGGAGCTGTACGTCTGCTTGCTCTGCAGCTGCCTGTTCCCTGACACCTGCAGGAGCCGCCGTGCCTCCTAAAGGAATTAAAGGGGAGGGTTCATTTCCCTAGGAGTGCGTGCCCACCCGGTGACAAGGCCAGTGGAATGCAGTAGAGTGGCCAAGCTTACTACCTTCTGAAGGATCTTCCACACCCTCTGGTAGAATCCCACGGGGACCCTGTTGATGGCTCCATCCAGCCTTCTTCTGCGAAGCCATTGGCCCTGGCGCTCCCCCCAGCCGATGTGGTGGCCACCCGAGTCTGACGATGATGTGCCCGTGGGCGAGGACGGGGTGCTGGACCTCTGCAAGACAGACCGCGTAGGGCCTTCAGAAACCTCGGAGCCATGCCCCATGGGGCTGCGGGCCGCTGTGAGGGATGCCTCAGCAAATTCATCAAAACACAGACCAACTGCCCAGAAAGGACCAGAGTTCCCTGACTGGAGTCTGGCCATTTCTTGAAACTGGATTAATTCTTTTCTGTACGGGTTCGGTTACTGATCTCCTTTGTATACCCCTCCTAGCCCTGCAGCAAAGGACCTCGGCCTGACAGGGGAGGCCGAGCAGGCGAGAGTGCCGCCCCCGGAGCCAGGCTGTGACTCCCTACTCAACACCCCCGCATCAGTCGCAACACTAGCTCTGGGCCTCGCCTTCACCCATACAACGGGGCACAGTCGGACCTGCTGCAGGGAGCCGGGAGTGCTCCCTGAAAGAAGATACAGAAAACCCTGAAAGCACGCCTGGCTTGCAGTAAGTGCGCACGGGCCTCAGCTGTCCCTCCCAAGGCCTTCTGGCATTGCTGTAGGAGGGCCTGGAGAGCGAGCCCAGGCTCTCAGAGTATGTGGGCCTTTCAGAGGCGCTCCAGCCCAGGCAGAGAAACACCGAAGTGCTCACTTGACTTCTATGGTGCCCCAGAGAAGCAGTGGGTGCCTCCCTGCATTGCAGATGCTGCAGACAATGCAACACGTCACATGGAGGAAGGGGGAGACGGGTTGTTCTGGAGCCAAAGACAAAAAGTAAAGGCTGGGAATCCTTATTTAGTAGTGGGGCCTCAGAGATGACGGTATATCCACCAGTCCCTCTGAATCACTTTCTGTTTGTTCTCAGCACAAGGCTCCATCCTGACCAGGGGGGCCAATGGCGGCCTCGGAGAGGGAGCATCCGCTTTGCTGAAGCAGAGGGAGCGCGAGTCATCCCATCCCCACCTCCTGGCCTGAGGCTGGCCGGATTCTGGCCTTCGTGAGCCAAGTGCTGGGGCAGGGCCAGCAGTTCTGCTTCTGGCCTCCGGAGTCAGCAGGCCCGCCCACGACTGCAGATGCAGCTCAGAGAGGCTCCGGGTGGGGGCCTGGAGCGGGGCCTTCAAGCCAAGCTGGCCTCCCCGCAGCAGAGCTCACAGCCCGCTTTCTGCCAAGGGGTGGATTCTAACCCGCCCATGTACAGGGAAGTAGAGGGTAACTTTCATCCTTCCACGTTACCTCGTTCTGAACTATCTGGTACCTTCGTTTCTCAATGCACAGCAACACACTTAAAGGTTTCAAAATGAAATCTGAATGGTAGGCATGCTAGCAGGGCAGGAGGCAGGAGTCTTCCCTATGTACTCATTTTGACTTCATCGGATCTTATTTTGAAGAGGCTGTTAGGCTGGGTTATTCCATCGGGCTCATTACTGCCATTTAAATACGGCAACAATTAGATACAAATAAAAGTAATTACAGCCACACTCATCAATGACTCAGCTGGTTTTCTCCTTCTAGTTTCAAGAGGAAGATTAAGACTTGCTTCTGCAATTAGGATATTTCCTACTCCTTCACTTGATCTGGGGCCTCACGCCAAGCCAGGGCGTTATGAGTACAAGGTGCTCAGCAGCACGTGCAGGCAGTGGCTTGCCACCACAGCTCAGAAGAAAGGCACAGAACCAATGCTTCGAAGGTTCCAGAAGCTCCTGGACAAACAAAGCTCATTTTAGGAACTTCTGGGCTTTCCTTCTAGATCCTCTTCACAATGACAGTCAAACAAAAACACTTAAACCTGTTCAACTCTGTGGGAGGTAGGGATGAGGTGGGTACACGAGAAGGGCAACAAGAGGATTCAGACACCACAAACAAGGAGGCGGTGAGGACAGTCGGGATGCGTGGTTTACCGCAGACTTGGAGGAATGCGCACTGCTGGACACGGCCTGGCTCACAGAAAACAGCTACAAAACAAAGAGAGTCCACTCAGTCATGTGCAGTGACACCAAAGGACGCCAGCAGAGAGGAGGCACATAGAACACCATGGAAAACCCCGTGAAAAGAAGGTGCAGAGGAGGCAGCCAGACAGAGGTTCTCATTCACCGTCCAGGCAAACAGCCCCAGACACCAGCCAGTGCAGAGCTCAGGGCTCCGTGCAACGGAGGACTTGGGAAATGCTCTTTCACAGGAGTATGAAATACGTTACCTATCCTAAGCCAATGTGGAGGGGCCTCATCGAATTAGGACACCATTTATTTTCCAAAGTCAGAGCCACAAAATGCTAATCTTTTAAGTGAAGAGGTGCAAAAATCTGTAGAGATCAATAAAATACCTACCCATAACCAGCATTTAGGATCTGGCACCTACTGGCGTTACATAGATATTTGTTAAATGAACAAATAAGGGCAGGCTGATAACTTTTGGCCAAACAAGTATTTTCTCAGCTAAAAATCTTTAATGTATCCTTAACTTGCATGGAGATAGTACCTGAGCACAGACTGTGCACCTGTGGTGTTCTTGCAAAAGTGAGTAGAAATTTACAACGCCAAGGCATCTATAAAATTTTAGAGAATAATACATTTCCTTGATGTAAGTAGCCAAATATAAAGCTTGTACTGGCTGAATCGAAACCTATCAAAGTAGATCATTTTGTTCCCATAACATTGCAAGGACAGTATTAAATGGAGGCAGAAGGAGCCACCCATGCTCACCCATAGTGAGCCATGATCGGGGTATGGTGCCACCGAGTGGCTAGCGAAGGAAGATGTTTGGAAAGTTGGCTCCTGACTTGGAAAGAGCCTAAAGCAGCATCAGAGACAACAGAGAGAAGCTGCATGTCACTCTACAACTCCTCTACGCTCTCTGTCACAGGACATGAAATCATCAGGAATGTGCTAACTTTCTGGAGGGAAGGGGAGGATGCGTGTCCCGAAGGTCCTCTCAAAGAACAGTCTCCTTACACGGTTTTCCTTGCAGGGTTAAATTCCCCCAGGCAATCTGGGGACAGGACTAGCAGTGTTTTTTCTTTTTTTCTATTCATCTACTCAATGGCCATGTTTTACTTTTCCCTCTTTATTTTCCCTTTTTTTGAACAGAAACTCCTGCCAAGGCAGAGCCCAGAACCATTTCTCTCACAAAGCATCCTATAAAACCCAAGAGCCTGAGAAATGGGTTTTTCAAAGGTGCATGGTAAGGCTACTTCTCTTGGTCTGCCTATCCCCGGGGCGGCCTGCCACAGCCCAAGGGGTCACCTCCACCCGGGGGGATCTGATGGGCAAAACCATTCCCTGTGCCATCACTCTCCGTATTCACCACCTTGCTTTCCACATTCAAGCCAGAAAGAACATGAAGTACACACGTGAGGGACGAAACAAGACAATATTTCACCTGGTCATCAGCACTAAATCGCCTAGTCATCTGAAAGTAAAAATACATCAGGACATAAACAAAAGCCAGTTTCAAATCAAGGATGCCCTACTTTTGTCACCCTCTAGAAAATCCAGGGAAGTGTTGGCTCAACTGCTGGGTGTGACCCAGGAGCACCTCATGGACTCAATTTACTGAGGCATCATTTGAAATGGAGAAGAGAATCTGAGTACATTTGTCACTCAGCTCATGGTCAGAAGGAAACTCTCCTTCCTCCTATAGATCAAACCAATCTTAGCACCGTCCCAGGGGTCACTGCAGAAGGAATTTACTATGAAACAAAAAGTGAACCAAGAAAAGAGACACCTGTTGCTGATGGCAAACACAGGTATCATGAGCATTCCATTCTGTTTCTACAATCTTTTTGCTATTTCATCTGAAGGACACATTTCACAGAGAGATGATTCAGTTACATTTTGCACGACTTTATTTTTGGAATAGCTGTGGCCCACCACCAAGAAAGTGTGGTTCTCAGCAGCAGACACAAACACAGGTAAGGGGGTTTTCTGGAATGTTCACATAATTTTTAGATATCTGGGTAGGTTGTGTTCAGATCTCAGGACAGAAGGGAGCTCACATCCTCTACAAAGAGCACCCTGCATGTCCTGGGTTTCTAGCACTTTCTGAGGTGAGCTCAGGTATGAAAAGCACTTCTTTCCAGGCACTGCCACTGAGTCTTGTCTTACCTGTTTCATCTCGCTCCTCAGTCTGTTAATGCCACTCCTCTCAGTTTTGGTGACTCCAGTGTGTCCCACTTCGTGGATAGAGATGGCAGGGCTGGATGTAGAGGAATGGATAGGTCGCACTGGAGGGGAAACACACACACATGTAGTTCTCAGAAACTATTAGCATCCACCCTGAGGGAGGAATACATGCCATGTGCTTATTTTTAATCCACATCTATCCTTCCCACTTGATTATAAACTCTCTTAGAAGACAGCCTCATCTGCCCAGGCCAGTGCTCTGTTTCCAGCATCTGGAACAGCGCCTGCTACACAGCACAGGCTCCATTAGCTGTCTGAATTAGTGAGTGAAGAAGTGAACGTCACTTAAGCAGCATGGAGAAAAACAGAGTGGCCATAAAACCCTTTAATGAATTAGTTGGTTTTTTAAAAAAATAATTTCTTCTCCAAAAGCACATCATCCTTGTAGAAAACTGAGACCACCCAACTAAGGGACCTTCCCTTCTTCCAGGGAAGTCCTGGGAGAACAAGCTGAGGGCTGCCGGTGGAGGAGGCATGGCTGCCCAAGAATCCATGTGCTTCTGACAGCAGAAGGAGCAGGGAGGCCTCCATCACCTCACTTTCAACCTGCTGCAGCAGCCTCTGAACTCAGGTCTGTGTGCACCCCATGAACCAGTTCTCTGGGCTTCGGTCACAGCAATCATAAAAGGCAAGCGTGATCATGTCACTACACACTTGGAGTCCTTCCAGGCCTGCCTCTGCCTTCAGGAGAAAGCCCTCTCGACTTGAGTCCCACCTGCCCCACTTAGCTCTGCACTCCTAGGCCAGCTACATGGTGCTGGGTATTTGTACATGCTGTCCCTTCCCATCCCTTCTGCTTGCAATTAGACATATTTATAGCTTTCAAGTGACATTATTCTGTTCTCAATTTTGTAAGCATCTATAGCTTTAGATCTAATAACAAATTTTTAGTCATTATCTCTGTCAAACCACATATATTATTTTGATGAGCAGAACACATAAAATATTTATCTTGCATATTTACGTTTCAAGGGCTGTGCATTTGAATAGAACTGAAAATTACTTTTGGAAAAGGATCTCAAGCACTCCTCCTTCAGGAAAGGAGAAAAGCGACCAAAACACATCTGATTGCACCATGCTGTCTTTGTTTGCTGGCTGGTGCACACTCTGGAGAAAAAAAACGAAGTACCCAGTGTCCCTCTTATTAAATAAAAAGAATGACAGCCTACACCGCATTTCTTTGGCTTGATGAAATAAATTCACCAATGTATCTGCAAATCATTTTGCTGTATTATGATGGGAGAAATGGTAATTGCTTCAATTATAATTAGGGAGCATTTGAGAACAGAATTCCACCAGGACTCGGGTGATTATATTTCCTAGCACAGCAAACAAGGTTCTGGTACAGATCAAAACTGAGTGAGCGAGATGGAGTGAAGCAAGCTCAGCAAGAACATGCCAGGAGGGTGTAGAGGACTCTGCTCCCCTAAAGGGTATCGGGGGTCTGCTTGAGAGTGCTTCTACCAAACCAAAGATGGGGCACTCAGGTGACTGGAAAAAGCCCTCTCGTCTCAACACCCTGGTCATACCCTGCCCTCCTCACACATGTGCACAAGTGAGGGTGGGAGGAGGGAGGTGGCAAGCTAGGGTGCAGAGGGGTGCATGCCATAACCACATGCGACTACTCTCAGCCGGCCTACAAGGGGTCACAGAGGTCTACAAACGGAGGTCTCTGTAAAGCAAGGACCCTCCCCTGTAGAATCTGTCCACGATTGCAGCTCCAGGAGACCCTGGGCATGCCTGTCTCGCCCCTTTGGCCCCCCACAATGGTGAACCGAGCATTGACTTACTGCTTCTTTCAACGCCAAACTCCTTTCCACTCAGAATATGGTGCAGGAGGTTTTTCATGTCGAAAGGGCTGAGATTCATCAAACTTTCAGAAGCTTCTTCTCCTACAAATACACACCTTCTAAGTATCTCCGACAGCTGCTGGCATGTTGAGTCTGGCAGGGCTTGGGGAGATGGCGACAAAGGCTACCGCGGCAGGTCTCCCTGCTTGGGATGACCTCACTACTGTTTCAGGGTGGAACTGTGCTGCTCCTCGGTGATTCCAAATACGGTTTAAATTGTGTATTTTCTTAACACTCAGACACGTAATTTTTCACACCGATGATTCCCGATGCTGGAATGTGGCTCCTAGTCAATTTACATATTTACACTGGTAGAAGTGTTATGAAATGGAGGATGACCTCTCACCGCAGGGGGATACTGAAGGAACTTAGCTGTCAGGAGCAGAGCACGAGACCCTAGTGCCTCATTCTCCCTGATGTATGAAATTCAGCATCCTGTGCTAGCTGCCTTGGCCAAGTGACACAGAAATGAGAGAACCTGGTAAAGCATGAGCACTTGCAAAGGCTCAGAAGCCCTGATTTCAGAATACTTGGGCAGGCCCCCAGTGGGGCAGGGTGGGAGGGGTGGGAACCCCCCCCCCCGAAGGCCTGCCTGTGCGCACCGTACCTGAGCAGTTCAGGCTCCGTGCTAGCTCCGTGGCCATCACCTGAATGATCAGTCCGATCCGGAGTCTGAGCATCTCCACGAAGAGGCTGGGCTGCGCCCTGACATACATGGCCAGGTAAACCACAATCTCCTGATGCAGACACGGGGAGACAGCGTTTCAGGGGCTGGTGGTGGAGAGGCCCCTGCACTGGGACTGAGGCGTGGCCCTGCCCCTCCCTCCGCCCCTGACCTGTGTGAGGACGGCGATGCTGATGTCCTGCCCACTGGCTTCGTAGATGAGCTTTGTGAGCTCCTCCGGGGGCAGGGGCCTAGGAAGGAGCATCAAGACACAAACACCATGAAAGATACCTAAGAGTGGTACTTCCTCACCCTCTACAGAAGGGCCTTATTTTCCTGCTGGGAGCTCCTGAGTGACTGTGTTTTTAAAAAGATCCTCTTTCCTGGGGCATGGGATGGCTCACTCAGTTGAGCATCCAACTCCTGATTTCAGCTCAGGTCATGGTCTCAGGGTTGTGGAATCAAGCCCTACATAGGGCTCCCTGCTCAATGTGGAGTCTGCTTGTCCCTCTCTTTCTGCTCCCTGCCCCCCGACCCTGCCCCGCTTGTGCTCTCTCTCTCTTAGCTAAATAAATTAAATCTCAAAAAAAGGGCCCTTTCCTGAATGGTGGATGGCACACCTATAAATGTAAGGCCACTAGGCTGAAGACTTACGCAGAGATGGTCTTCTCCCGGGGCTCTGGTGGCAGGCCCACTGTGAGCTGTTTCTGGTGCGACAGCAGGTCTGTGCAGGCCTACTCGTGTAGGAAAAAGGATGCAGACCACGGCAACAGCCGGAGGGTGGAGGAGGCGGAGAAGAGAAAAGCCAACAGGGAAGTGTCACCACCAAGACGACAGATTTACCTTTACAAGCTTTATGACCCATGCTGCCATTTATTTGAAAATTCATATATAGACCCCAGACTGAGCCACCCAAGCAGGGCTGGGGCCCTGTGAGCTCTGTGGCCTGGGTATTCAATGCCCACCCACTGTAGTAAACACACTGTATTCCCAGCTATTCCACAAGTGAGATGAGCTGTCCTGAGTCCTAAGATAGCAGTGTTAAGGGTTCATGACCATATTACAGTCTTAAGTTGCCAGTTTCCCCATTATTTACACACAGTAAACACCGTCACCTTACCATAACATTGAATTCTACTGTCTTAGAGAGCAGTTCTGGATTCTGCAGGGCCTCAGGGTTAAAATGTTAATCACGATTATATTGCAGATGTGCAGAAATAAGAACGCTCTGTTTAAAGGTGGCAGGCCACAAAGCATTTTCATTTTATTTCTTGGTAAAAACCCTTTTCTGCAGCTAAAAAGGAACAAAACTAATCAACTTGAATTTCATTTCCTTTGCTTGCCCTCCAAGAACAGTGGGAGGTCAGGAGAGGAGGGCCTATTCCATCTGTGTATTGGATAACCGATTTCCTTTACAAATATGAGCTACTTGCCTCCAGCTTTTCTAACAGAAAGAGGGCACAGGCTCTTCTAGGGGCTAGAAAGAACAAACAGACTGCCCGAGTACACTTGCTCTGACCTCTGCCAGGACCTCTACTTTCTTCCTGAGCAGGCCAGAGATGTAGCGAATCAAACCCCACTCCTGGTTCAAGCCAGCTTTCCCGTAGAGCTCGCTGAGGAGGCTGTGAACTGTGACCCCGTGTTGTCCGGAGAGATTTGTGTCCCAGCTGGGGCCTCTGTCAAGAGATAGAAAACTCCAGAAGTATGGCCTGGAAGGCTTACAAGTCAGATTCTCTTGCAGCAGAGCTCACTTGGCAGGGAGGGAAATGAATCACTGTACATTCTGCCAAGTTCTGGGAGCCCTCCCGGTGCCTCTGAGTCTCACCGAGAGGGTTCCATCTTATCTTACCACAGCATCCCTTATGTCTATTTCAAACAGAAGCCTAACATCAGGAAGCAGTGAGATCCTGGCCTCATTCAGCCTTCTCGTCCCAGGAGACCAGCACTAGTAGACAGGGAAGGGGATAGAAGTCTGTTCATGGTGATCCTGGGGAATTTGGGGGAATCGTGACCTGGTTTGCTGGAAGGCCAAGAAAACTCAAATAGAATCAAGGAGAATGGAACAAGCTCGAGCTAAGGAAGACCATAAACTTACTTTATCACATACAGAATGTACAGAATGTCTGCTTGGTCCTGTAGGTTTGCACAGTCTTTCAGTTGCTCTACCAGCTTCTCACAGTCCACATCACCATGGTCATCTCTGGGCCACAGGAAGTCCTCATCAGGGGCCTAGACACACAAAAGCCAAAAAAACCAGGGGAGAGGGGCTGTGTAACATAGCAGCGGGGCTTGGAACTCTGTATTGCTGGGCTCTAGGGTTTCAGGGACTCTTCTGTAACTTTTTATTTATATGTTTACTATTTCTGATCAGTGAATCACTCTGTTACTTGATGTTCGCAAGAGACCAGGCTGAACAGGTTAAATTATGTGTAAGTAACTCAGAACTTCCAATCCCCCAAAACTTACACATTGAAAAGTTGAAAAAAAGGTGAAAATGAACCCATGGGCGCTAGATCGCAGGCTAGAGGTTACCACTGGAGTGGAGGGGACGAGGCAACTGGGAGAGCACAGAGTGGTCCCTGACACTGGTCACTTGCTTCCATCTTTCTCTATATAGGTTGGGCTGCAATAAAATATCTTTTTTTTTAGATTTTTATTTATTTATTCATGAGAGACACACAGAGAGAGGCAGAGATATAGGCAGAAGGAGAAGCAGGCTCCATGCAGGGAGCCCGAAGTGGGACTCAATCCTGGGACTCCAGGATCATGCCCTGGGCCGAAGGCAGGTGCCAAACCGCTGAGCCACCCAGGGTTCCCCATAAAATATCCATTTGAAAGCAAAACAAACACAAAAAGTATGTAAGTTTTAAACAACCTATAATTGAGGCTAGGTTAAAATATTCTCCAGTAGACATTGAATCCTTATATTCATGTGAGAGAAAATCAAGGGAGACTTGTAGATAAAACAAATTATGGGAACCAGTGGGGAACACCCTGAGATTATACTTTCCTTAGGGATCTTTTTCTAGTTTTGTACCCTGCTCTGCAAATGGCCTGGCCTTGGCTGGCTGGCACAGACAGGGCAGGGCTAGGCAGTGAGCTAGCTTACTTCCTCTAGCATGACAGATTCTGATGAGCAGGTGGAAAGGCAGTAGCCTTTTCCTACATGCAAAATATAAAGGTTTGCATCACATGCATTGTACATAAGGACACAAGGCAGACTGCAGACAACTAAGTGAGTGGGTTCCCACTGAAATCCAGAACTTCCCATCCCCAAAGTCCTGGATATCAAAAAATACACTCTTTCAAGTTCAACCACATAAAAGAGTTCTTGGGACCATGCCAGCACTGAAGAACATCACACTTAAAAAACAAAAAAGTGATTCTAAATACTTTACCTTTTTTAGGAGTGGCTGAGGAGAATCAACAAGATTCAGTGACTTGCGGTGAGCACTCAGAACTTTAGTTGGCAAAGTCATGGGAACAACTGGAAAACAAGAGAAGCAAGCAAGGCCTTTGGAGGAGGAAGAGGAGGAGGAGGATACTTCTTTTGAGAGGTATGGCGGCTACTCCTTACCCAATACAAACCAACTAAAGGAGTCGTTATTTATTTAGCTTAATTAATTTCGGAAAGAATTTACCATGTAGCCACATCACGTGCTAAATCTGGGAACAGGAAGTGAGCTGGACATGGATCTTGCTTTACTTAAGGAGCAGAATTTCCCTTTTCCCTCCTGGAATTCCAGGGAACTGACATAGCATCTGAGGACTGAAAGGAGCCTTAGAAATGACTCAGGTGGACCTATGTCTTTCAGATGAGGAAACTGAGAACCCGTGAAGGAAGAGCATGTGGCCAAGGTCACTGGCCTTCTGGTAACTGAGGCGTCCAGTTCCCGGGAGTGCGGCGTGCATTTCACTTTGCCAGGGCCAGCTGCTGGAGCTTCTGGTGTTGAACCACCTTTGGATGCTATCATTATCAGTACTTATTCATCAAGCCATCTGTGTCTTCCAGGCTAGATCATATCATCTTGGGAAAATAGGAGGCTTTCAAAATAGAGATGGGGCATATTTAAAAGGCATTTATGGACCTCCAGGCTGTACTAATAAAGGAAACACACATTTTAATTTGTCTCAAATCCCCCCTTAACTTGGCAGAAAATAATTTTTTTTTAAAAGACAAATCCTCAAGAATAGGGAAAAGTGGGAGAGAAGACAACAGTAGTGACATTTTGGAAGCAGGAAAACAGATGAATGAAAGATAACAGACTAAGCAGACAGAAGGCAACAAAACCCCAAGTCTGCAGTGAGAACAACCAACAGCCAGTCAGGTTTAGGTCAGAGAATCCTTAGAAGTTTCAGGAGCTTGCTGCAATATACACCTCTGGAATTGGGGGGTCCGGAAGGGGTCCAGAAATAAGGAAGACTGGAGAGAAGCTGTGCAAGAAGCAGTGAGCTCCCTAGACATCTTCCTCCAATCCGTACAACTTGGCAACTGCCTTGCTCCTCCTGACAGAAGACTAGAGGGCCTGTGGAAGAGAGTGAATGCGAGAGGTGGGGTGTGTGGCATGTCCACAGTCCTCGGGTGGAGTTAAGTGACCATACAGCTCCAAGCGACTGACCCTGACCTGTCAAAAAGGAGATCGCAAAAGAGATTGTAGAGTAGCTCTGGGAAATCTACCCAGCCTACACTCATCCATCACCCACACCCCACCTCCATGCTTAGAGACTTGCAGAGGTGAGCAGATAACCAAGGAACACCCAGCATTTGAGGAAAGATTCTAATGTGGAAGACCGAAACCAGAGGGGGGAAAAGTTGACTTGGGGGACCTGGAAACCACTTAGTGAGAAGAAAATGTAAAAACTAAACCCTAAAGCTCCACTGTTAATATCCTTACAGTAGTAAGACATTGAATTGCATGCACAAAACAAGAATAAACGCACTTCAGAGAACAAAGGCTGAAAACATAATAGCAAAAGTAAAAAACCTCATTTGAGGGAGTGGAATAAAAAGTTGAGGCAGTTGCCCTCAGAACAGAGCAAAAGACAAAAGAGAAACGCTAAAGACTTCTCCAGGAGGTTACCACTGGAATCAGAGAGTACCAGGAAGAGAGAGAGCAGAGTAAATGTAGGGAAGGAAATGCATCAAGAAGTCTTTCAGAAAAACTTTACAGGACAAAACATAAATTTCCAGATTGAAAGGGTACATGGAGCATCCACACAACGGATGAAAATATACCCTAATATAGGCACATCACTGAAATTTCACAACCTGGGAGCAGAGAAGATTCTAAAAAAATTTCAAAGAGAAAAATAGTTTATGTTGAAGGATCAAATATCAGAATGGGATTAGATTTCTCAATAGCAACACGAGTAGCAAAAAGACAGTGAAGCAATGCTTTCAAAATTCTGATAAAAAATTGGTTTTCAATCTTGAATTCTATAACCAAACTCTGAACTGGATATAACAAATATTTGTAGATATTTTCAGACTCGCAAGGTCTTGACAATTCTCCCCACCACATACTATTTCTCAGGAAACTACTGGATGTCTTGACCAAAATAAGATAGTAGGCTAAGAAAGAGGAAAAGTAGAGACAGAAAACAGGAAAGTCAACCCAGGAGACAAGGAAGTCTTAGGAAACTCCAGGATGATGGTAAGGAAAGATCCCAGGATAAAGTCGGAAACCCAGACATGGAGGCAACCAGGCAAAAGGGGCAGTGAACTTCAGAAACAAGCAGGCTGAGGATTGGCATTGCTGTGCCTGCCCTCTTCCATCATACCAGTTTTTTAAACCTTCTCAAACTGCTCTAGAATGTGTTCCACCAAAGGAAGAAATCAAGGAAGAGGAACATGCTAGATTCAAGAAATAGGGAGGCCAACTGAAGAGATAAGCAAATGAGATTCCAAAGATTATAGTAAAGAGAAGTCTCAGGATGACAGGTATGCAATAGGCCTAGAGCACTATCAACCCAGACAGAAGGAGACCTGTGAACTAAGCAGTGTAACTGAGAAACTCCTGGATATGACTGACCTTGTGGAAATTTGTACTGTGGGCCATTGGGAAGTATAGAGAGGAAGAAAAGCAAATGAAAAGATAGAGCAACTTCTGATAAAGTTAATAGTATTATTGACTTTTAAATTTAATAGTATTAATTTCAGAAAAACCAAAAAATAAAAATAATACAATCACAGTACTCTATAATGCTCAGTCCAGAATATTTGCACACACACAATAATATAAAGAGTGAATAGTGATTTAACTAAACTTTAATATCGCGATATCACGAGGTTATAGGAAGTGAAGTAGAGGCGTGGTGATTAAAGACAGCTAAATCCTCATCCACCTAAGAAGAAGCCAACAGATGCTGAATAAAGTTGACACATCCAAAGAGAGCAAGATACACACATTATTTTAGAAAAAGAGATACGTAAATGCCAGAAGAAACAACTGAAAGTTGAAAGTGGAGTGGTCACCTCTATGTAGAAGGACTGGGTCAGTGGGGAGGGGAAGGATGAGTTGGGAAACCTCTGCATTTTGTTGTCTTCTCGAATTCTCGGACTTTTAAATTATGCTCATGTGTTACTCTGAAAAGTTATTTTAGCAGGCAGAAAAGAGTTAATAACGCACATGGAATTTCCAAACCCTTTGCCTTTGCCATCACAGAAAGTATATCCCGAGTGGAGTGGATGGCGCTGAAAACATGGCTGTCTTCTGTCTTCTTACAAAGAGGGGGCAGATAGCACTTCAAGGATGTGCTTTGTAGGAGGTGGTTGATATATTGGTCGAGTTCATCTTCGCCTTCTGTAACTGGACAAGCAAGAGAAAGAGCCAGTGAAAGCAAGCTGCAGAAATATCCTCCACGCGTCCCAGTGACTGAGGGTAGCCTGTGGCGCTGAGGATATTTAGTGGGAGGCAATGTTGCCATACAGGTATTTGCACCTCCAGTCCCAGAGGATAAAGAAATTTACATAGATAATATATGTGTTTTTATTTATTTTTTAATCTTTTTTATTGGAGTTCAATTTGCCAACATATAGCATAACAACCAGTGCTCATCCCGCCAAGTTGCCCCCCTCAGTGCCCATCACCCAGTCACCCCAACCCCTCTCCCACCTATGTAGTATTTTATTTTATTTTATTTTATTTTATTTTATTTTATTTTATTTTTTTTAAGATTTTATTTATTTATTCATGAGAGACAGAGAGAGAGGCAGAGACACAGGCAGAGGGAGAAGCAGGCTCCATGCAGGGGGCCTGATGTGGGACTCGATCCCAGGACTCCAGGATCACGCCCTGGGCTGAAGGCAGGCGCTAAACTGCAGAGCCACCCAGGGATCCCACTATGTAGTGTTTTTAAAGTGATTGTTTGGAAACTCTTCATCTTAGGAAAAGAAAATACAGGTCAAGATAGCTACACATCGTACCAAGATGAAGTTAGTATGGAAGAAACCCTGAGGGCCGGCAGCTGATATCTGATCTTTTTGTTTCACTTGTCAGGAGTGAGCTAAACACTACGGAATGCCCAGCCCCAATCCCACGTACCATGGAAAAGTAAAAAATGGTCACTTCATCCCAAAACCTTGTTCAGTTTGAGAAATATACATACAGGATTTCATCCCTCATATCCAACCAAATCTAGATCACTCTACCATTCCTTTGAAAATCCAAGCAGTGTGCTTCTGTCTTTAGAATATATTTGGTGAAGGGCACCTGGGTGGCTCAGTTAAGCACCTGCCTTTGGCTCAGGTCATGATCTTAGGGTCCTGGGATAGAGCCCAGAGTCTGCTTCCCCCCCTGCCCTTCCCCCCTGCTCATGATCTCTCTCTCCCTCCCTCAAATAAATAAATAAAAATCTTATTTTATTTTTTATTTTTATTTTTTTAATCTTTTTTTAAAAGAAAAATTAGAATATATTTGGTGAAGAATCCTCATTCCTGAAACTCTTTGTCCCTCTAGGTTTAAAAAAAGCCCCACTTCTACCGTTTAGGTTTTTAACATCTATTCATTTTAATAGATGCCAGTTTCCAAAGCCTCTTTTTTGTTATGTTAATTACCAATAATTTTCTGTGCTTGAATTTCAGGGCAATTTTATCACAATGCCAAGGTTTAAATAAATTCAATGAACCACCTGCAAAAGCATTCCGAGCTGTACCTTGATTATAGGTGTCTTCCAGATACCCTCCCAAATCTGAATCAGGACTGAAGCTCCCTTCACTGGCATCATCAAACAACTTCTCATCACAGTCTGGATCCAGGAACGTCAGATACGTGTAGAAGGACGTGGTAAGAAATTCCGAAAGGCTCCCTAATTTTACTCTGTCAAGGAGACACTATGTTAGAAATACAGGTGCATGTGGACAAACTTCCACTATGAATCAGAGAGAGACTTTTCAACAACCAGATGGTGCTTCTGCCAGAATCAATAAATACGTCACTCTGCAGATTGCCCCACATAAGTAGTCAGCCAAGAAATTAAAACAAAAATTCAATACCAAGTATAAAGTAGGAGCACATAGCATATTAAAAGTCAAAATGAATCATGCTGATTTCTTACTCCCAAACCCAACACAAACAAAAATCTATTTTACTGAACCAACGTAAGTTTTACAAAACAGAGTGACTGAACCACTTTTAACCAGAACCAAACCAAGCCTTGGGGTTTTTTCTGTCCTAAAACAACTGGACCAGAACAAAACCTACCATGTAATATGGTCACACAGGCATAGGTATATGATAGGAGAGGCAGTCTCAGAAGCAAAGTTCTTTTTTTTTTTTTTTTTTACAGTTCTTTCTAGAAGGAATGCAATGCGAGGACCATCCCCAGACTGGAACAGATGCCCAGAGTGGCATCATAAATAAATGAAATCTTTGGGGGGATAAAAGGTAGCTCCAGAGGCAGAAGACAATAGGATATTGGGAGCTACTAGCATCAGATGAGGACTTAGTAGAAATGGCTGAGAGAAACTGTTTAAGAAGCACACTGAAGCATATAATGCAAATGAATTCGTGGGTGCTCAAGCTTGAGTGGGCAAATGGACTACAGCAAGAAACATGGCCTAAGGGAAGGAAAAAAAGCCTTTCCTTTAATAAAATAAAATCTCCCTCCAGGGCCCTAGGGCCCATTTTACTGATTCTCTTGTCTTCAGACTAGGGACAAGGGGAGGTGAGGTAGTGTGTATAAAAGACAATGGAAAGTTTCTCTCTGATGAAGTTGAAAGGAGTCAGGACAAAGGTGGAAAGGCAGTAATTTAAAAAGGCTTCTGGGGGCACCTGGAAAGGCTCAGTGGTTGAACGTCTGCCTTTGGGTCAGGTCTTTGGCTCAGGGAGTGATCCCGGAAGACCCCGCGGGGATGCCTGGGTGGCTCAGCGGTTGAGCATCTGCCTTTGGCTCAGGGCGTGATCCCAGTCCCGGGATTGAATCCCACATCGGGCTCCCTGCGAGGAGCCTGCCTCTCCGTCTGCCTGTGTCTCTGCCTCTCTCTGTGTCTCTCATGAATAAATAAATAAAATCTTTTTAAAAAATAAAAAATAAAATAAAGACCCTCAAACCTGGGTGCCTGGGTGGCTCAGAGGTTGGGTGCCTGCCTTTGGCTCAGGTTGTGATTCTGGGATCAAGTCCCACATCGGGCTCCCTATAGGGAGCCTGCTTCTCCCTCTGCCTGTGTCTCTGCCTCTCTCTCTGTGTCTCTCATGAATAAATAAAATCTTTAAACAAACAAAAAAAGACCCTCAAACCTAAGGAAAAGCCAAAATTAGATTCAGTTTTTGTTTGTTTTTAAAGATTTTATTTATTTATTTGAGAGAGAGAGATCCCAAGCAGGGGAAAAGGGCAGAGGGAGAAGAAGACTTCCTGCCGAGCAGGAAGCCCCATATGAGGCTTGATTCCAGGACCCTGGGATCATGACCTGAGTCGAAGGCAGACACTTAACTGACTACGCCACCCAGGCACCCTGAGATTCACTTTTAATTATCAAGAACTTAATAGGAAAGGTAGCCCATGGGGCCCAGGCATTCCTGTTTCCTTCCACTGTTCTCTGAGTCGTTCACCATACTGTATAAACAAGAGGCCCTCCTTGTTTTTGTAAGCCCTCATCCAGCTCGGCACAGAGATTAGAGCTGGTTCTTGGGTTCTTACCAAGCTTCTGCACCTATTCATCTTGTGCCCCTTGCTCTCTGAGCCTATAGCCCCTTGTCTGTAGAAGAGGAATACCACCCACATGACACAATGAAGACTAAATCAGATGATGCACACAAAACAGCACAGAGTGTCCTGCAAGAGAGCAATTAACTGCAGACAGTATCCTTTTTGACAATGATTAGATTTCAATTCAAGTGTTTATTCTGATAAACACTCATTATGGATGTATGGTATCTTCTCTTGGCTACGATGCCATACACCAGGTGGTAACTTATCCAAACCGGACGTGAAATGTACGAAAGTGCGTGCCAACTGCAGTTACGGTGCTGAGATATGCCAGGTACAAAAAAACACACTGGATGAATCCACTTAGATGAGATACCTAGAGACAGAAAGTACAATGGTGGTTGCCAGCGGCTGGGACAAGGAGAATTGGGGAGATATTGTTTAATGGGTAGAGAGTTTCCCTTTGACAAGATGAAGAGTCCTGGTGGTCGGTTGCACGACAATGTGAATGTGCTTAACATTACCAAACTGTATACTTCAAAATGACTAAGATGGTAAGCTTTATATTATGTGTATTTACCAGTTTTAAAAAACATTTATGGCGGCAGCAGGGTCCCTGGTGTGGGAAGATGTGAGAAGGGCCGACGTCAATGTCCAAACACTCAGCAACTGGCATTCCATCAGGGAACCAACGGAAGACTCCAGGGCCCAGAAAGGGTCGCACCTCACTCAGGGCCGGCCGAACAGTGAGGTTCTTGGAACCCTTCTCACATATTCCAGGAGATTAGGAGAGATCAGGGCCTATATGCTATTGAGAAAACCTCTGCCTCCTGACAGTCAAAAAATATAAAAATCGAATTGGTTTTCTCAGGAGGTGAGCCTGTATCACTCAAGGTGCCTACCCGGGATCATGGGGAGCACCCGTATTACTGTGGGCCTGAAAAGTAGAATAGGTATCGCTCCACTGAGGAGGAGGGGACAGTGGTATAGGCAGGCCCATTCAGGCGCTCTGCTCCGAGGGCCACTCAAGGAATTTTTTAAAGTTCTATGAATTATTCTTCAGGTGACAGCACACTCAAGTCAGTTCAGGGCGTGTTTACTGGGCACCTGCTAGATCCCAGGCACTGGGTGTTTTCTTCTAGGTCCTTCACTAGAAACAGACACAGCATTCCATACATGCAATCCAAGAATGCCACTTCAGAGAGACTCGGTATGCTTGCCTCTCCACACCCCAGGCCTCCTGGCACCTGTAAAAGCTTCACAAACATCCACTGAGAGCTGCTTTAGAGAGGATTCCAGTTCCACAGGGGTGAAGGGTTTTAATTTCCTTTTTAATCTAAAGCTCCATGCTTCTATGTTCAGCAATTGATATGAAAAATGGGGGAAGGACAGCATCCTTTTTTTTAAAATATTTTATTTATTTATTTATTCGAGAGAGAGAGAGAGAGAGAGAGAGAGAGAGAGAGAGAGAGAGAGGCAGAGACACAGGCAGAGGGAAAAGCAGGCTCCACACAGGAAGCCCGATGCAGGCCTTGATCCCGGGATTCCAGGATCACACCTTGAGCCTAAGGCAGACGCTCAACCTCTGAGCCACTCAGGGATCCCACCCCCCACTTTATTTTAAAGATTTTATTTATTTAGCAAAAGACTTTTAAGAAAGGTCACTGATGGGACGCCTGGGTGGCTCAGAGGTTGAGGGTCTGTCTTGGGCTCAGGGTGTGATCCTGGAGTCTCGGGATCGAGTCCCGCATCAGGCTTCCTATGTGGAGCCTGCTTCTCCCTCTGCCTGTGTCTCTGCCTCTCATGAATAAATAAATAAAATCTTAAAAAAAAAAAGAAAAGTCACTGATACTTAAAAAACAAAACACAAAACCACAAATTACCTGGCTCCTCCAAAATATCCATCCTCTAGTTTTCTAATTGTAGAAAGAACTGCAGAATGAATGTCTGAGCCATCATTTGCTAAGGGAGGGGGGAAAGATGAGTTAGTTTACTTAATTTGGAAATACTTTTTGGTTTTGGGGACATGCCATGAAATGTTTTCACCAACATAATCTAATAAGGGCAGCCCGGGTGGCTCAGCGGTTTATAGCGCCACCTTTAGCCCAGGGCCTGATCCTGGAGACCCGGAATCGAGTCCCATGTCAGGAGCCTGCTTCTCCCTCTGCCTGTGTCTTTGCCTTCCTCTCTCTTTGTGTCTCTCATGAATAAATAAATAAAATCTTAAAAACAACAACAACAATAAAAAAACATAATCTAATAAAATACTTATGGAAGATTCCTGAGCTCAGAAACCAAACTGCTAAGAACCTCCCCTTCGGTACTTAGCTTTGTCTATGGGACTGATTTTAAACATTCTGAAAAGGGCCCAAACCAACAGTGGGACATGAATCAGGCAGATCAAGTTCGCAAAGTTACTGAGCATGGTGTGGGTGATGGGGAAGGTGAGCGTGGGTCTGCCCGTCATCCGCCAGCAGGTGCACAGGTAGGCCAGCTCGATCCTCAGCATCTCCACAATCATCTCATTGTCCAGGGCCAGGTAGAAGTGATGCTGGTCCGTGAACTGCAAGTCAGATCAGGCCCAGTAAAAGGCTGTCCTTCATTCCCCCGACACAGCCCCAGCTGTCATTCACGACAGCACTAATCCTTGCATGTTGTTTCCAGAGAAGAGGCTCAATCCTGGCTGTATCTGCCCCCATCATGGGGCTCTCCTTGCAATCAGGCAAAAATCAATCTGTCGCCTGCCCAGGAATCGTAGCTACATTAGCGTGGAAGGTAAAGGTGCACAGCCAGATCTATTTATGGCTCCTCAGATGAGGATTTAAGCATCTGGCCCAACACCGCTGTCCCTGAAAGGAAATCAATAACTCCTTAAATCTTACTCATTCTAAAGCTGCTGGGCTCAGAGGATTTCCAAGTGAGGGAAGTGAGGGCACTGGGAGCAGGTGAGACATGGAGGCTGTGTTTACCTGACTGATGACCTGGCTAATGTGAACTATAGGCACTACTGCCTGGTGTCGATGAAAATCAAACTGTTCTCCAACCTCGGGACTAGTCCACACTCAGCTCTGGTCTGACGTGTGTTACAAAGGGAAATAACTCACAAGATTTAAGCAAGCAACGTGGGCTAGCGTGAAAAAGAACAACTCGGGGCTACTGATCCATGACCCCATGGCTGACAGTGTGCCTGGGGGGTGGGGAGCCGTGCCCACAGTGTCAAAGGGAGCCTAGAGCTGATCTTTCTAGCTGGCCAAATGGATGGAGAATATTTGGTTCGGGTTCTGTAGGACTACTTTCTTTTGTTAAAAAAAAAAAAAAAAACAAGAAACAAAAAACAAAAAGAAAACTCTGGAAAAAAAGTTCTATAATCAGTATATTTGGTATCTCCTCAAGGGGGAGGGCTTGAAAATCAGATAGGCTAGGTGTTTCATGGCGGGTCTTCAGACAACGTAAGCAAAGGTCAGGGACTGCTATCGGGCACAGGGACAGCAAGTCAAGGGACAGGTACCTAGCAAATTTGGGAAGTGGTATGCATTTCACTACTCCTCATGACGAAATGACGACACACTCAATTTGATTCAAGCCATGCTTACTGAGCACCTACTGGGACTAAAGAATTGCAGTAGGGCCTGGGCGTCATATTACACATCGCTATTTGAACATACACACGCTCATTCTACCGCATTCACAGTAGCTCACCACGAAGAAAAGGGAACTTAATCAAAGGATGCGTGTTGCTTTGCTACTGGCCTGCTCTACTCACCTGGGGTGTGAAAGTAAAGATTTGGTTCCTAATCACATACAGCTTAGATGTTCCAAGGACTCCAATGTGCCGATATGGTCGCCCACTCAATTTCATATTCTTATTCCGTCCTATTTGAAAAATAAAAGAGAAATTAGAGTTAGATCAATATGGCAACTTCTAATCCAAGTGACTTTGGCTAAGACTGGGCTTTTTGCATGTTAACCCACTTCGGGGTTTAGTTTTCCTAACACCGTTGATCCTTCTTTAAAATAGGACAAGGATGAATTAAAAACAAATCCCACTGCCTTCTCTTCATGCATGTACACAAATAGCACCCTGTTCAACATCTATGTGGAATGAAACTACTGATAGAACTTTATTAACGTTTACTTCTAATTTATTTCCTACCGAGCCTAGTTATAGTTTCTAAAATCTAAGCAAAGTTGTATTTTAGAGGGACGCCTGGGTGGCTCAGTGGTTGGGCGCCTCCCTTCGGCCCAGGGCATGATCCTGGAGCCCCGGGAACAAGTCCCACATTGGGCTCCCTGTGAGGAGCCTTCTCTCTCTGCCTGTGTATCTCCCTCTCTCTCTGTGTCTCTCATGAATAAATAATAAAATCTTTAAAAAAAAGTTATATTTTAGAAAGAGAACCTCCACTCCTGTTTTAATGGGTAAATGAGCATTTTTCTAAGATTACAGATAAAAATTAGAAACATATCGAGACACAAATGACTGTTCCAATTGAGAATTTTCAAAGGTGGTACCTTATTTTACAACAGATCTGGTGAAGGGCACAGCCACACTTTGGCGACATCTACTGAACAAGCATGAGAACATGCTTGTCTGCCACTCCTCTTCACTTTGAAGAGGTCGAACCATGTGATTTGGTGCCTTGCCCAATTCTTCACAGTTTATACCTATAAGTCTCCCTCAGAACCAAAACCTAGGGTCGCCTGGGTGGCTCAATGGTTGAGCGCCTGCCTTTGGCTCAGGGAGTGATCCTGGGGTCTGGGGATCAGATAGAGCCCTGCATCAGGCTCCATGCAGGGAGCCTGCTTCTCCCTCTGCCTGTCTCTGCCTCTCTCTCTCCCTCTCTCTGTGTCTCTCATGAATAAATAAATAAAATCCTAGGGCAGCCTGGGTCGCTCAGTGGTTTAGAGCCACCTTCAGCCCAGGGCATAATCCTGGAGACCTGTGTCTCTCATGAATGAATGAATGAATGAATGAATAGAATAAATAAATAAATAAATAAACTTAAAATAAATAAATAAAATCTTAAAAAAAAAAAGAACCAAAACCTAGAACCAAGATGCCTCTCACCAAAACCACCCTGCCATTTCCCCAAACCTACCAAGCTTGGCATATATGTGACTGAGAATTCGGCCTGGCTGGACTCGGATTGGATGAATGTCAGCAATACTCTGGACGTTTACCCCATGTTTCCTCAATAAGTCCTTAATGTGGTTGTTTTCTGCCAGAACAGTAACTGTGAACAAGAGCATAATAGCATCTGCATTAGCCTGTGGCCCTTAGTCTCCTCGCATGGAGAATATATTATTGACTGATCTTTCTTTTGGCCTCTGACATACACAGCAGCATGCTCTCCACACACTGGGTGGCTTTGAAAATCACAGCAATTTTCCTGCCACTCTTCCTGGTTCTCTCTGGCCTCACCTCCCCAACCCCCATGAAGCATTTTTATTAAGTGCCATCAATGTTTAAGACAGTCTGATAAGAGACTTCTAGAAATGGTCTTAAACAGATCCCAAACCAAATTACCCTATCTCAAATGATGGCTTGCCTCCCTGTGGGTCTGCATTTATTCTAAACCTGTCTTGTGTTCTTTTCATATGGAGTGAGAAGCAGAAACAGCTCTCCATGGGGGGATGCCAGGAGAAGCTGGAGCTCCTGGTCTCAAAGAACAGGAAAGAGCAATATTGTGGTATGTACTAGCAGGGTGTCCTGACCAAGGGAGAGGTTGGGGAAGATTGCTCCCTCCGGGAAGAAGGGAAAATGGGGCTGTTAACAGCCTGGCCCACCCATGAAGCACAGCATAGGGTCTTGCTGGTGGGGAAGAGCCACCCCAGAGCTGGGCCCTGCACCCTGAATGGGCCGGCTGGGGCCCCATCTCTAGTGAGTGAGGCTGGGCACCTGGCTCTCCAGCAGGCAGGGGACTCACATGCCTGGGACATGGGGGCCTGAGCAGGGACTCCAACCCCTGCACCTCCTGTACCAGTTCTGCTTTGAATGTGACTTTTAAGAGAATAGTGCTCTAGTAAAGGGAAGGAGTCTTGGGAAGGGGACTGGTGGAGGGAGGTTCTGGTCTCAGAAAGGGGGGAAGGTTTCAACTGCAGTAGAGCCTGCTGGGAACAGAGTGTGAGGGTGGTGCTCAGGCTAGAAGGTGATTCGGTTACTACTACAGTAGTCCACTGAGCCCCACCATTGTACCTATAGGCTGGTGGCCTTGAATGTACAATACACATAAATGCCACTGAGACCTGAAGGTCACCTCCTTATTTACATAACATGTGATACTTTTCAAAGTATTTTAATATCTGTGACCTCATCTGAGCTTCATAACAAGGCCCTGTGGGGAAGCCCCACATCTGCTGGCCACGTGTAGCCAATTCCAGGAAATGGGAACCTCAGCCATGTAGGACTGGGTGAAGTGGTGTCTCTTAACATCTGTTTCTTCTGAAGCTCTCAATGCCATGTAAAGATCAGTGGTCACTCTCTGTAAAGGCGACTCTTTTTTTTTTTTTATAAATTAATTTTTATTGGTGTTCAATTTACCAACATACAGAATAACACCCAGTGCTCATCCCGTCAAGTGTCCCCCTCCGTGCCCGTCACCCATTCACCCCCACCCCCCGCCCTCCTCCCCTTCCACCACCCCTAGTTCATTTCCCAGAGTTAGAAGTCTTTATGTTCTGTGTCCCTTTCTGATATCTCCCACACATTTCTTCTCCTGTAAAGGCGACTCTTACTGCAGTGGTTTGACTGAGACCTGTGAGCCCATGATCTGATACAGCCATATGCAGGAAGTTTCTGAAACTGTACTTCTTCCTCCAGGCCAGATCTTATTATATTTTCTATTCTGTTTCTGTTCTATTCTAGAACATTAAAAGAAAAAAAAAAGTGGCTAAAGACCCCTCAACGGGCCCCAGCCTACAGTTGGAAAAGCGGCCTCGTGAATTTAAGGGCTCACTTAGCAGCACGTGTTGTGTTTAAGTGCAGATTCTGGAGTCAGGCTGGATCAGTCCACTTGGACGTCAGCACCGAGTTTGCACCTCCCTCTGTCAGCTCTGGGCCCTTGAGCGAGCTAACCTCTAAGCCTCATGTGTAAGATGGGGAAGATAATCATAACTGTTACAATTTCTAGCTGATGAAACTGTTGCTGTTGAGGGCCTGGAGCTCAGTATCAATCGGATGATGCCCCACAGAGCCTCTTACTGTATCCCAGGCAGGCACAGGGGAATGAGTCCATGGTCACAAACAGGATTGCCTTGCATGTATTCAATAATTGTTGTTAACCTACTAAGTAGGTGTGTGCCAAACAACACAGAAGCTAGAAGAAGGATACAGGCCTCATCCTTAAGACATGTATGACGTAGCCACCTGGGTGGCTCAGTCGGTCCAGTGTCTGACTCTTGATTTTGGCTCAGGTCATGATCCCATGACATGGCCCCAGGTCAGGCTCTGTGCTGGGATCAGTGCTCAGGATTCTTTTTCCCTGTGCCCCTCCCCTCTTTCCTCTCTAAAAATGAAATGAATGGTGTAATTTAAAGGAAATAAGGCATATACACAAAGTGCTGATATCAGCTGGTACCTAAGTTGCCCTATGAGGCATGTGAGCTCCTCAGGAGTCTAGGAGGGAGGGAGAGGAACTGGTGAGCGAGGACCTACACTGGGGGCTTTCTTCATGACAATCGCAGAGCATCTCAATGTCACCCTGTGAGGGGGCACCAGTTATGAGGACCCCAAGGCACAGGGAGATGAAATTGCAAGGCTAGGCAGAGCCAACACTAGAGCAGCAGTCCACACTGGCCTTCCACCTCTCTGGAAGCGGGGCTAGCTGGAAGGGAGGGGAGGCAGGTGAAGACATGGGCCTGCAACTCTGGAGAGAAGCCAGACCTCAAGGAAGGAATGCGTGAACCTTTACTTGCGTTTTTTCACCAGGGTAATGTTCTACTTTTTAAAGAACTGCAATGAAAAATGATGCTCGGGGAATCACTTGTGCCCCAACTGCAATCAAGATTTGGATTCAAGAAAACAAATGCTTTGTAGAAAGTAACTTTGTGGTTGAGAAGAATACTGAGCTAGTGAGTTATAGAAGGGATGTTGCAGAGCCCATACACACTGAAGCACACTGGTGTACTTTTTTAAAAGTAGAATAGGAAACTAGGGAATCTTTTGCATTAAAAATAACATTGCAGGGCACCTGGGTGGCTCAGTGGCTGAGCGTTTGCCTTTGGCTCAAGTCGTGATCCCGGGGTCCTGGGATCGAGTCCCACATCGGGCTCCCCGCAGGGAGCCTGCTTCTCCCTCTACCTGTGTCTCTGCCTCTCTCTGTGTGTCTCTCATGAATAAATAAAATCTTAAAAAAAAACCATTGACTTTACCCAGTTAAATATGAATAGTAAACATGCTCACGAACCTTGTACTACAACATCGGGTTTGACAGAAGTGGAAAATCTTCTATTTAAGGGGTCAATTTCCCCAGTGGCGAGGAATCCCTAGGAAAAGAGGAATAGTGACACTGTAAAATACTGAATGAAATCTCACCTTAAACCCAACTAGGTAAATGAAATATCTGGGGGCTCAAAATATTCAGTATTTTAACTCTGTTTTTCAAGTGAACTGCTTATCTTCTCTGAAACACAGTACACCATTAGATAGCCACTGATGAACATATTGTGCTCTGGCACCTTGCTCTCCAGGACTAGCCAAACGTGCCACCACCTTGGCGACTGGAAAGAACAGCAGTGACTCAAACCTCATGAGCCCTCACTCCACGCCAGTCCCGGGCTGAGCCCCTATACACTCACAGTCACGTTCAGGCCTCCTGACAGGGAGGCACCAGACTAGCATTTTATGGGTGGGGCAATCGAGGTAATGCACTTAAGCTAGGTGGCAGAGAAGGGACTTGGTCCTGGGCTGACTGTCCTGAAGCACAAAGCTCCCCTCCATGATTGCACAGAGTGCTGTTTCAATATGGCTCTCCTCACATCTTCTATAAATGACCGGAGTCTTCAGGAGGGTCTCAAGGTGCTCTGGAGTTCTGAGGAGGAATCTGACCTAATGCTGGGCTTACATGAAGGCCTTTCCATTGAAGAGGCAACGAAGCAGAGCTGTTTGTTCCTCCTCTCACAGACCCAGAGATCAGAGCTGGCAAGTATAGTAGAAATGATCAAGCCCAACCTCTTTACTTTACAGAAGAGGAAACTGAGGCTGGCTCACGAGGTCAGGTTGCTAGTCAAAGGCAGAGCCAGCTTTCCAAGAGACAGACGTGGTATTCCCTACTAAGAAGGACAGAAGTAGGAGACAGTCCCCACCCCCAAGGACATGACCATGAAATTGAGGAGGCAATCACAGCCACGAAACCACCAACCCACTTCAGCTCCAGAAGCTCCTAATGCCCACTTCCACGGTGACAGCTTTACTTTCTGTCTTCCTTTATACACAGGCAACCCAAGTGGTACTGGACTGGACCTACTACTCAAACCTCTCCCCTACCCTTTCCTAGAGTTTGGGAGGACACACAGGACTGGGCCAGCCTAACAGGCTGGAGCTCCCAGCTCTTCTCCTAGACTCTTTCATCCACACCTCTTCCCAGGGGCCCAGAGCAGTCAGCTGGGCAGGAGCCTGTGAGGACAGATGAACGCATCTGATAACGTCAGCCATACATCATCTACACCATCACTCCCTCCACTCCCCACCGGGGAGGTCGAGATTCATTTTTAGCTAGCAAAAAAGCATTTGCATTTTGAAAACTTAAGCCTGGAGGCAAGAACATGTTTAACAGGAAGAAATGAGTCAGAGATAGTAGACCTTCTATGTAAGGGTGTTATGGGCTAAGGGAACACCTGACACAAAATTCACTGGAGAAGAGCCAGCCCCTGCCCCTTCCTATAGAGAGCACTGTAGAGTCACTCTGCTTCCTGCAGCCAGGACTGTGCCAGGGGTGGCTGGAAGCTGACTTAGTAGCTTCCACAAACCTCTATCATTCATATGTGTGCTGATCCCAACTGGGAAGCTTCTAGTCTCTTACTGACCATCAACTCAACCTAGTTCTAACCATAGACCAGGAATACGGGGGTAGGGGTCAGGGCAGGGCAGGTGATAGGAGTGCTTGGCATGCAGCTGACTCTGAAGTGGGCCAGTGTAAATATGGACACATAAGCCCAGACGGCAAGCCTCAGAGCAGACTCAGTCCAGGCGACTTTAAAACTATGAGATGCCAAAGACATTCACAGCCACACGGGGCAGAGAGCCCCTATGCTCTTCTGGGGTCCCCTACACCTCAGATCAGATGGTTTCCAGTCTGTGAAGTCCCCAAGTCTCCTACCTCTGCCAACAGCGAGCTGAGGATGTATAGGGACTGGCCCCACAGATGAGGCAGCTTCCCCAGAGGAACTCTGTCCACTGTGTGGGGGTTCTTATATTCTTCATCAACCTGGCAAAAAGAAAGACACCCAAGTCAGAATGTCAGAGGATAAAAAGGCCAATGTTACCGCATACTGGGGAGTGCACTGAGGATTTACAAAATGCCACTCATTCGATTCTCCAGGCCAATTCTGTGCAAGAGCTGTGACAGGGTGGCCCAAGAGCCAAGGCCTTGGTGTGGGGGCCTCATGCTAAACGCAGCAGAAGTGGAACTCAGATACAGGGGTGGCTCCAGGCCAGCACTCTTCCCATAGGCTCACTGATGGCAGAGGGCAGAGACAGGCACGTGAAGTCTGGCCTGCCTTCTTTGAGCACAGCCCTGGGCAACAGGAAGTTTCATAGCTCCTCCTTACCCTTGTCTGTATTATGGGTACAATGATCTAAAGCATCACCCTAGAGCCACAGCAGTGCATTACCTGCTGCTAAGTCATCTTTCTCCAGTCTTATTCTCCCCAGGGGCTCATAAATTGTGTGCCTATGCTAGGAAATTACCAGAAGGTGGCACTATTTATTGAGGAAAACAGTGCTGTACTAGCAGATCACTAATCTTCCATCAGGGACTCAATAAGCTGGGTCCACTGGGGGCTTTTGACTCATCAAAATAAGCTACAGTTCTTTTTTGGATGGACAGTGCTAGCTACACATTGTAAAAGTTAGTCTGCAATTTTCTCTGTTGTAAACTCCATGCTGACCTTTGGAATTTTTTTTTTTAAGTTAACTCTACCCCCCATTCATGGGGCTCAAGCTCATGACCCTGAGATCAAGAGTCACGTACTCTACTGACTCAGCTGGCCAGGTGGCCCTGACCTTTGGGTTTTTTGTCATTACAATGTTGGTCTGGGGTAATGTTAGTGACTACTTTTTCCCTTTGGAAAACAAAGCAATTGTAATTCTTCTCCAAAAGGGAAAATCACACCATGAGGGAGTCATACCCTGCTTGTGGATTTATCAGTGATGCTATTAACAGATCGTTAAAACTTGCTGCAGTAGTAAACATTAAGAAAACCTTCAACTCATAAACTGAACAGAATTACACATGTCAGTAATCAAATTATCAAATAGGTTAACAGTGTGGCAGGAGAATCTCTAAAATGTCAGAGTTATCTTTGAGTAAGTTTGGTTATCTTTGGGTAGTAAGAGGAGAGAGAAATACTTTCTTCTTTCTACAGAATCGTGGATGTTTTGTAGTGTACGGGACTTTCACAATCAGATTATACATTAGGGCTATTGGAAATGTAAGTAGCGTTAAGAGAAACCATGAAGACCTGGAATGAGAAATAGTTGATGCAAAGAACAGAAGGCAGACAAAGTGTCTGGATCGAGAGACAGCTTGACTCTAGCCTCCCCGGACCCATGTGCCAGCTCCTGCCTCCCTGTGCAGGCATTGGGGTCTGTCTCCTTGTCTCTGTCCCAGTCCTTCTTATGTGCTTGCAGGTCCTCTAACACACAAGACCTTTGCTGTGCCACCCGTGTGTGTGCCCTCCATCCCCCAGACCAGCTCCTCCACCCCCCACTAGCCTGCAGTCTCCCAGAGGCAGAGCTGGCACTGCAAACCCTGAGTGCCCTGGACCCAGCTTGGTGTTTTAGAAACCACTTCTGGACAAAAAGTGTTAGGTCTGAAAGGGGAGTACAAAATACGAAAAGGCCAAGCATGAGCTCACTTCATTCCAGAGAAGCAGGGCTTGGTTACCTTGTTAGGCGGGATGGCGTACAGTTCTGGCACCAGGTGGATCCCATTCTTGCCTCTGATTACTATTCCCTCTAGGGCCTCTCGGTATTCTTGGACCTGGAGAATGGCCCCAACCCCACAGCAGGAGAGAGGCATCATCAATACTGTCATGGGAGGTACATCACAGAAAAACACCTCTCTTGGCAACAGATTAGTAGTAGGACACAGGTCAAGAAATGCACAAATGCCCTCCATGTAGGGAGTATAGGAGGGACTGGGACTCCTGCTGACAGCAAAGGTTAGAAGGAGGGGAACGCATTGGCCTTTTCTGTGTGGTCTTTAACTCACGACTTCAATATTTCACTCTTAGCTTCTCACATATGTAAGTTCTGTCTCACCAGCTAGACTACATAAGCTTCTTGGAGTGGAGGCCAGACCTTAAGGAGGTCATCCCACTTCTACCTATCACTAGTTTTCCACTTAAAAGGCCCTCGATCAAGCATTTATTGCTCAGGAAATGTTGGCGAAGGGAACCCGCTGTGAGGGAAAGGAAGTGTACGTACTATGAACTATGTACCAGGATTCTTATGATGCACTACTTGATATGACAAAAGCTGTGGATGTAAACATTTCCATTCAATGAAAAAGGCAGTGATTTAAAAAAGAAAACCCTGTGTATGAAAAGGAAACAGACTAAAGGGGGAAAGCCCTTGACCAGCCACCCAGCTGTTTTAACATATTTCATCTTTGGAAAGCCTAGTCAAAGGCCTTCTAGATCTCAGTTCCTTCTCTTATGAAATTTGTGGACAGCAAAATCTGCAGGGGTGCAATGTTTTTTAAATGTCATTGGACAGCAAGTGGAAAAGACAGAATAGGCATAAGAGCAGCAAATTCTGTGAGACCTAGAAAATAAGGTCCTAAACACATTCTTGTCTTCTCAGCTTTTTTGTTTCTCATAATTGTCAAGTTTCATCATAACTCAAATTCTAACTCAATCCCTTTGAGAACTTTCAGTTCTAGAATAAAGAGACAGAAAACATAATACCCAAGATCATTGCTAAAGTATAACAGTAAGAATCAACAATGGGGGAACATTAACATTTCGAGCTTACTACCATGTTGGGGAGGAAGAATTTTCTCTGCCCTTCCAGGTCCCTCTAGCGGCACTAAGAATCAAACTGACATGAGACAGATGAACAGGAGAAAATCAAATTTAGTTACATATGTACAGAGAATCCACAAAGACACAGATGGGATATTCCAAAGATAGTGAAGCACCATGAGGCTTACTTGAGCTCAGGAGAGGGGTGGCGGTCTGAGGACACAAGGGAAGGAGGACCATTTGCAAGAAGGTGAGAGGAGATGTTTTGGAAAACAAAGGTGGCCCTGTGGTACACATAACTTTCTTAAATAAAGAGGAATCTGTGTCAGCAGCTTTCTTGCTAGTAGAGACAAGTAGTTGAGGGGGATGTAAAGAGCTTTTCCCGAATCTGCTGGGTTATGATCACATTTTTTAAAAAAGATTTTTTTAAAAAAAAGATTTTATTTATTTATTCATGAGAGACACGGAGATAGAGGCAGAGACATAAGCAGAGGGAGAAGCAGGCTCCCTGCAGACAGCCTGACGAGGGACTCGATCCCAGGACTTCGGGATCATGACCTGAGTCAAAAGCAGATGCTCAACCACTGAGCCACCCAGGCCTCCCTGGGTTTTAATTACTTTTAACTCAAAACAATGTTCATGCCAAAGTGGCCCATCTTGGGACAGGCTGCCCTCAGCCCCTACAGCCACTTCTGAAACCACTTAGAATTTCTGAGCAGAGCCAGCTTTCAAAACCAAAATAAATCTTGGATTGCTCATCCCACCCCAGTACATGTGGTCTGAACAGGTTAAGAAAACAGTGATGCATTTGATTATGTCAGTCATTCACATGAGCTTCAGGAGGATAGATCTGTTCTACTTACCAAAGTATGCACAGTGGCAAATGCTAAAGAAATCTGTCTTGAACAATGAATGTTGCATGAACAAATTTTTACTGGGAACTTACTATGTACTAGGCACAGGGAATGTATGGATGAACTGGATGGAGACCACCTCTACCAGGGTGCTCTGACAGGTAAGCAGGAGATTAAATACAGCTATAGGTGCCATATTGTGGTAAGCACTGTGGGACGTATAAAAGGGGCATCGATCCAGTGGTTAGGGTCAGAGAAGGCCTTCTGAAAAAAGAGACATTTACAGTGAATCAAGTGAAGGAGAAAGAGGCAGCTGAGGGTCAGAAACAGGGCTTGGGCACTTGAGAACAAGGGAGACAGCATGGCGTGTTCAAAGGACTGATATGGTTTCAGGGCACTCACATCACAGAGCTCAAGGAACTAAGGAAGCAATAAGAAATTGGGCCAGATTTTATGGGACCCCGTGAAACAGTAGAGCTTGTACTTCCATCCCAAGGCAGACAGGAGCCTTTCAAAGCTTTTAAGTAAGGCAGTAGCATAATCTAATTCGTCTTTTAATAAGATGCCCCTGGCAACAGTATAGAGAAACAGCAGGGAGTGAGGCTGAAGGCTGGGACACCCATTAAAATGCTGTTACGTTAAATAAGATGTTAACTGAGAATGCCCTTATACTAGAGCTGAAGACAGCAAAAGCTTAGGCTGGCTGGTCTGAAAAAAAAAAAAAAGAACAAATAAACCTATTTGTGGTCGACTGTGGTTCCCAATGAACCTCACTTCTCAGTACTCATGTCTTTGTGCAGTCCCCTCCCCTAGAATGTGGCATGACCCTTTAAACAACAGAATGCAACAGGAGGGACATTGCCAGTTCTGGCCTAGGCCTTAAGAAAGCTCGGTTGCTTTTGCTTTTGCATTTCAGGGTAAGACGGCCACCCTGTAAAAAGCCTAACTGGTCAGAGACTACAATTCTGTGAGAAGCCCAAGATAGCCACATGGAGGAGAAGTGAGGCCTGGGTCAGGAGCCCAGCCCAGTTCCCAGCCAACAGCCAGCATCAAGCTGCCAGCCAGGTGAGTGAGGTCACCTCAGAAGTAGATCCTCCAGCCCCAGTGAACCAGCTGACACCAAGTGAAACAGACAACCTGTCCCTGTTGAGCCCTTCCCAAATTGTAGAATCATGAACAAATAACATATTTGTTATTTAATGTGCTACATTTTAGGAAAGCTTCTTAAGCAGCAACAGATAACTGAAACAGTGCCCTAAATTCTTACGTAACCTTATGTTCTAATAACACTCAGCATACCGATGGAATGAAAATGCTGATTATCAGCACAGCACCCAGCACATTCTCACCTGAACGGCGTCACCAGTGAAGACTCCATCTATTATGAAATACGTCCAGAACACAGGCCATTCGCATTCAATGTTTTCAAAGAGCTTGAGCTCAGCAGGATCATAATGCAATCGGTTTGGGTCCTGGAATCAAACAGGAAACCTTCTGAAAGGTGATGTCAGATTATATTTATAATACCACCGTACCTCAGTGGGTTTCATTCACTTTCTGATTCAATACAGCTCTGTGGCTGCTAGGATTAGGAGTCGGCTATAATGGGGAGATGCTATTTCTGGTAGTTTTCCGTGGTAAAATCTCAGAGAAGTCAATCAGAAATGTACACAAGACTCCTTGGTGGTTTATTATACTAAGCTTCCTATATCATGAACAAATAAATAGCAATTTGCCTATAACAGTGCTCAGCAGACTATCTGTTTTATTTAAATTACTATATCAGTCACTGTGGCAAAGAAACTCAAGAAGGAGGCCACAGTTCCTCTTTAAAACACCATGTGAGCCACAGAACTGTTTGTCCTTGTCTACAGGCTGGTTTTAAACCACCAGCCTGCTGTCCTCCTTAAGATTATATTATTCTACTGCCTAACTCCAGCCTTGCTGTCTCCAAAATTAAGAATGCCCTTTCCAATATTCTAACATGTAATTTTATAATCAAGAAAGGGAGAACACCACAGTGGTGATTTAAATATGAAGCAGTTACAGAATCATAAGAAACAATATTTAAATACAACCTCTCTTGGGGTTTTATAGCCATCTCGAAGGAAGCGACAGCATCCATAACGTCCCTAAAGATGATAAAGAAAAAAGTGCAATTGATGAAAGAGAAGAATTTGTCTTTTTATTGTGATTCATGTTGGCCCTGCACCCCCTTCCCATGAATCTTTTAGTAACGAAATGTGTACCAAGTACTCTTTGTTATCAATGCAAAAACTTATCTTTAAGCAACAAGCCAAGTAAATTCAGGTTTGATCAGTGCCAAGAAAGGAAAGTCAAAACTTTCCGTTAGAGTACCAGGGCTGGGAGAGTAATTACTAAGAGTTTACAGAATGACTAGCCTTCCTTCTCATTGGCTGTATCACACAAAGATGCAGAGGGATCCTCACTGCGTGGAGAAGCCACCAAGGCAGATACTTCTACTTGAAGTACTTGATTGGGCTACTTCTACTTGAAAGACTGGAGAGCCTAAAGGACATTGGAGACTCCTCACAAGTAGGCTCTGGATACAAAGAAGTATGGGGGTGGGGACAGAGGCAGGTGGGGATGGGTGGGGCTTCTTCCGGCCCAGGGCTCTTGCTGCTGGCTTTCCTGCTGCAGGCTCCAGGGTTCCTCTCCAGCTTCCTGGGTGTTCATAAAGAAGGGCAGTGGCACTGAGCTCTTGATCTACCTCCCTAGTCCCTGGATCGCAGTGTTGGGTGTCCATTCCCCAGTTTCTTAAGCGCACAGGGGCTCCTTTAGTGCTGGCTGCAGAGGCAAGCGTACCCCTAGCAGCCAGCCCCACAGTGTTCTGGGAGTCATGGGGAGGCCCAGCCTAGAACCCACTCCCCTTTAAACACTTCATTCCCTGCACTGACTCCCTGGCTACTGGGACAACCTAAAACAGCTTTCTTTTTCTCCACTAAACCGTGAGACAGCTTCTTTGGGGATATGGCTGGAGACTCTTCAATTCCTTTGTATCCAAGGGCTAAAAGCATTTTTTACAGAATCTAAGTAGGATCGTCACCGTGAAGATTTTTGGCTTTAAGAAACTTATTTTATTTATTTTTTAAAGGAAATTTACATTCTTGATCATTTTACTGAGAAATTCAGTTGCCTGGGCTATTTAATAACATTCTCAGTTTGGCATATTATGTCACAGTTCCTGCATTTCACCTCAGAGCAGGGGTTTTCCTAAGCTTGATTTAACTTTTGGGTTGCCAAGTCCCCAGAAATTGTGTATAAAGTTGGAGGATATTGGGACATGTGCATTTTTTTCTAGTGGGGACTTTATAGCTTTTAAGAGATTCTCAAAGAAGCCTGTGATCTCTAAAAGGTTAAGAAGCTCTGCTTTAGAAGTATAGAAGGGGAATAAATTGGGATTAGAGGTGCTGGCTTGAGTTCAAGCTCTGCTATCAGGCATAAGAACTAGGCAGGAAACAACAAATGTTGGAGAGGATGCGGAGAAAAGGGAACCCTCTTACACTGTTGGTGGGAATGTGAACTGGTGCAGCCACTCTGGAAAACTGTGTGGAGGTTCCTCAAAGAGTTAAAAATAGACCTGCCCTATGACCCAGCAATTGCACTGCTGGGGATTTACCCCAAAGATTCAGATGCAATGAAACGCTGGGACACCTGCACCCCGATGTTTCTAGCAGCAATGTCCACAGTAGCCAAACTGTGGAAGGAGCCTCGGTGTCCATCGAAAGATGAATGGATAAAGAAGATGTGGTTTATGTATTCAATGGAATATTCCTCAGCCATTAGAAACGACAAATACCCACCATTTGCTTCAACGTGGATGGAACTGGAGGGTATTATGCTGAGTGAAGTAAGTCAATGGGAGAAGGACAAACAGTGTATGTTCTCATTCATTTGGGGAATATGAATAATAGTGAAAGGGAATATAAGGGAAGGGAGAAGAAATGTGTGGGAAATATCAGAAAGGGAGACAGAACATAAAGACTCCTAACTCTGGGAAACGAACTAGGGGTGGTGGAAGGGGAGGAGGGCGGGGGGTGGGGGTGAATGGGTGACGGGCACTGAGGGGACACTTGACGGGATGAGCACTGGGTGTTATTCTGTATGTTGATAAATTGAACACCAATAAAAATTAATTTATTAAAAAAAAAGGAATAAGAACTACGGCACTGGATCACTCTGAGACTGTCTTCTCCCCTGTACACTCGGCTGTGGATACTGCACTCTCAATCGACTTAGATAAACCAAGCCACTGACCTCATGGCGAACGAAGGCCTGGGTGAGCTGCTCCACACCATCATGAAAGGGGCACTTAACACAGGGCAAAAGGACACCAGCATGATGAACGCTTACCTGGAGCTTGGAAATAATTTCATTTTTGGTCAAATTCACGAGGTTCACATCTTCCACTGCAAAGGCCGGGAAAGAGATAATGGAAAGAAGTCCAGCATCAATCTCCTTAGACGTTGATGCTCTTGGCAGCATGGAGAACAGAATAGACTGAATGAAAAACAAAGAGGTGGCTTGAACCTGAGAAGTGTGAATAGTTAGTTGCATGGTATCTAGAGACCATGACCTCAGCCCAAAGGAACATTTGAATGAGTTTGCCGATTTTGAGTTGAGCTTTCTCCTACCACGACAGCCCCTGCTGGGGGACCTCGCCTGGTCAGCCAAAGACTCCCATTCCTTGTGGGAGAGGAGAGGGCTGGGGAGAGCACAGTACTGCCTGGAGCCTATGCTGAGAGCTGCTGGTCTCCCTCCCCTGGGTGCCTTCTGTTGACTTTGCTGTGTCTTTCAGACATGCAAGGGAGGAACTAAGGACTACTATGTCAGCAGGCCGGGGTGTCCTGGATGCGAAGATAAAGACAGAGAAGAATACCTATATGGGGCTAGCGTGGAGAAATGTCTGGCTTCTGTGGAATGTGACTAGGTGATCCAGAACCCATGTATAGGAGTCAAATCCAAGAGACCACACGAACACTCAGGCAAAATGGTAAATAAGGAGAATCACTGCAGTCCTAGAACTAGGGTTACTCAGTGGCACTGTAATATGGCCTCAGTTATAAGGTAGTAGGATTAGGCACTGCAAACTAAAGGAAGGTGAAATGCTAAGTCTGGGAAGGGAAGGGAGCAGACACTGGGATCTGTGCAGACACGGGGTTAGAGCCCTGCAAACACAAGCAGAGTAAATTTCATATAAACATGGTGTACTACGTTAATTGATTTTCAGGTGTTACACCAATTTTGTATTCCTAGAATAAATCCCATTTGGTCATGTTAAAAAATGTTTTTTTCCGTTTTATAAAGAAGGAATTTGGGTACTATGTCTAGTTCACATATGAGGGCTGAGACTCAGACACAGACTTGTGTGACAGAATGAGGATTCTAAGCCAGGCCCAGCTGGCAGCAGAGCTCACATGGTTTCCACCAGGGACTACGCATTAGTAAGATACAAATCAGCTTGACTCTATTCAACTGTAGCCCAAGAAAGAGCAGATTCTCCATTAGGGACTCTTTAATGCGGGGAAAGGAGGTAAAGATGGGGGAGCCCTTCAGCCCTTCAGCTTCAGAATAAAGCTTCATTTTCTCAAGCGAACTGACCCCGAAGGCCAGTTCTTTAACTAGCTGCTCTCCCTCAGGCTCTCTGCCTGGAAACAGGCACTCCCTCCAGAAGCTCTCTGCTAACAAGTTTACATGGCTCTTACCACCCTCACAACCCTGGCACGGTATGTGGCAGACAGTGGACCCTCACTAAGTAAGAGTTTACTGACTAACCAGCAATGGGTGAGCCACTGTCTGCTTAATGGAGTCCCCTAATCTGCAACAAATCACTCCTTTCTCTGCCCTCTATTTCATGTAGGTTCTACTAATTTGTCATTTGTCCCACATCATCTCTCCTCCACCATCCATCCTGCCCATCCCTTCCCCTCCTTGAGTGAACTACTGCTTGCTAGTATTCAATTTGGTGGCATCATGAAAGAAACTCAAGAGAAAACCACCTATATGCTCAAAAAACAAACAAGATTTTGCCTCCAGGAAAACAAGGTTGCTATGACTCGCCATCATGTTGTACGTTTACATAGCGCTTTTCAGCTTATAGAGTGCTCTGACGAACTCTGATCCTTACGACCACTCTGCATGACAGGAGGGGAAGGTGCCAGTATGCCCATTTTATGGATGAGGAAACTGAAGCTCAAAGAAGCCAAGTACCACCAAGCTAGAAAGGTGAGGAGTGTGGGGCACTTGGCTGGCTCAGTCGGTAAAGCATGCAGCTCTTGATCTCAGGGTTGTGAGTTTGAGCCCCATGTTGGATGTAGAGATTACTTAAAATTAAAATCTTAAAAAGAAAAAGAAAGAAGAAAAGGTGGGGAATGTGACCTGGAGCCCAGGTCTTCTACTCCATCAGTCCTGTTCCCTCCTGTCTGGACCGTGAGAGGCTGGAGCTGTTACCTGACAGTGTTCGACATCATCAGGCAGGACATGGATCACTGACTTGCGTCCTCCATGGGCTCCAAAGAGGTCCAGCTCATCAATTGCCTCAAGGGCTGCCTGCAAGCACAGGTATGAATCACTTTTTCTCTCTAGTAAAGATACACTCCCATATCCGATACTCCTTTCTCATTAAACAATCTAGCATGCATGTTTTCCCAAAGGTTATGAAACACATCTCTAAAATTCAGCTAACATATCCTGTAGACATATCCTATCCTTATTTTCAGTGGAATCACGCTTTTCCTATATATTGCTGCTCTTTGCAGAAACAAGAAAAACAGACAAACATTTCCCCAAATGAGGTTATTATTTGACCATAAAATGAAATATTGATGAGTTCCTAACATTGGGAGAGGGCGCTAAATTCACAGACAGCTTTTCTTTCACCTATTTGTGTCAATTCTAATATTAGCATGTCTGCCACTTCAGAAAGTTATTTCTTTTAATATGAAGTATGTTTTTGGTCAATTGACCTTAAAGAACATATTTCTTGTTGCTTTGAAAATTCTAGTTCTAGTCTTTATTCTCTCCAAGGATATACTTTCATCTTGAGCATGAGGGAGGCACGTTAAATGTCTAGGGTGAGAGCTGTAAACTGGGATCCCTGGGTGGCGCAGCGGTTTGGCGCCTGCCTTTGGCCCAGGGCGCGATCCTGGAGACCCGGGATCGAATCCCACGTCGGGCTCCCGGTGCATGGAGCCTGCTTCTCCCTCTGCCTGTGTCTCTGCCTCTCTCTCTCTCTCTGTGACTATCATAAATAAATAAAAAAATATAAAAAAAAAATAATAAAGAAAATACTTTAAAAAAAATAAAAAAATAAACTGGTGGCTGGCAGACAGAATCTGCCCCAGAGAACACAGGTGTTCTGAAGAAACACAGGTGACCTGAAGAAATTTTTAAAATGATTTTAAATGGGAATACCTCTAGAGAAAGTTCCCAGTGTCCCCAGGACCCCTCAGTATTTTTCTATCTGGCCAGTTTCACTTGTTTATTATGTTACTTGCCTGACCTGACTCCATAGACTTTTGAACTTGTAAGCCCTGCCCTACAAAGCAGTCATATTCTTCAGCCTTCTTTATGACCCAGAAAAGAAGACTGGACATCACACATCCAGATGCTTAGACAACAGCAAGAGCTGAGACCTGTGGGTGATAATAATGGATGATGAGGAAGGAGGGCCCTGAATTTCTGGCACAGGCACATTTCAGGGTAGGAAACCCATTCTTTACCTATCATCTCAGTCAGCTGGGGTATATGTGCCACTCAAATTTCATACTTGCAGTTGACTTTTGAAAAATATGCTAATCAGATTAAACCCAAACCCCTAAAGATGACAACCAAATCAAAGCAGTAGAAATGCAAAGAAGGAAGAACAAACAGGTCCAGAGTGTCACCTTGGCCATTCCTACAGAGCTTGCATTCAGTTCTGGAATGCCCTGATTAGTCTTGTCTCCTCGTTCCCACATTCCATAATCCTGCAGAAGAAGACGGGAGTGAGCAGAGCAGGGAAGGTGCTATGGAAAAATAATCCCTTTATGTTACCATGGCACACTGAAACATGAGTATCTCTTCTCAAAGGTTGCCGAATTCATGGCTTTACATACTCTGGCTGTGCTCTTGTCCTCAATTTCACTTTATTTGACCTCTGTGCAGAATTTTGCAAGTAAATACTCAAGTGAAACAAAAATGCATGCAAAAACACTCAATTTTCTTATTTCTAAAAATTATCAATTTGTAAGAAACTCTTGATTTGTAGAGAACAAAATTTTTATCTTCAAATCAAATGAAATGCTGCCCTTCTACTTAGCAAATCCTTTTGAACTTATATTATATTCTAAGATAAAGAAACTTAAATGCATTATAACCAGGTGAAGCCAACCAAACCATTTAAAATAATTTAATACCTATTCCTAGTGTCACTTCTTGGGGGAAAATGCTGAGTAAGTAACAGAGGCCAAAATCAAAAGTGAGGCACAGAATAGTGAACTCTCTTGGTCTTTTAAAACCGATTCATGTGAACTGGCTCAGAACACTCCATCCATACAGAGAATGTGATACATGCATACCTAACTTGTATAATTCATATATTCTCTTAAGAAAGACAAGCACTGGATACTGTTTTGAAATAATGCTACAGAGCAGCACTGAAAAATTACAAGCCAACAAGAACAGGACCGGTGCCAAAATATCAGTGTTTATTATTTATCTGCAAAGATGAACATTCCAAAATGTACAAATTTAGACTGAGGCCCACCCAAGTGGCTTTAGACTCTCTCCAGCTGAGCCCCAGGACTCCTTCCTTCAGTGCTCTTCACATCTGGGCCTTTCCACATTCCAACCCATTCTTACTCCAACCCTGGAGCCAAGTGACTCATCCTCAAAAACCGCTCTGATCAGCTTGCTCCCTTGTGCAAGAATCTAAAATGACAAAGTGCTTATTCCCCAGTGGCACACATCAGCTCTCTTAGGCCAGCCACACCTCCGGTATCATGCCTCCACCCCCTGCACGCCCACAATCCAACTTTGTTTTCTGCTACCCTACAACAGTCCATTTTCAGGCTAAATCTACTCCTTCCCTCTGCACCCCACCCCTGCTCCCCAGGGACCCCTCGCACACTCAGAGCCCATTCCTGCCCAGGACTGCTCATGCTATTCCGCACTGTCTGCTCATCCTGCAAGGTCCAACTAAAGTCCCACCCTTTCCACAAAGACTCCTCTGGTTTTTTTAGACCTCGGTACTCCTGCCATTTTGAGCCAGGTCACTCTTTGCTGTGGGGCTGTCCTGTGCACCGCGGGATGTTCAGCAGAATCCTTTACCATCACTCGCTAGATGTCAGCAGCTCCCTCCCCAGGGTGACAAGCAAAAATGTCTCCAGACATTGCCAAATGTTCCCTGGGAAGGGAAGACTGCCCTTCGATGAGAATCACCTCTTTAGACCCGAGTAGCCCTTAGACCAAACCTAGTCTGCTACCTATGTTTGTAAATAAGGTCTATCTGGGACACAGCCATGCTCACATGCTCCCGAGTCATGTATGGCTGCCTTTCTGCGACAAGGGCAGAGTTGCCTAGAAGCAAAAGGGACTGCAGGGGCTGAAAAACTGAAAAATATTTACTGTCTGGCCCTTTACAGAAAATGTTTGCTGACCCTTGCTTTAAGACCATAGTGGCTTTCTTTCTTTCTTTCTTTCTTTCTTTCTTTCTTTCTTTCTTTCTTTCTTTCTTTCTTTCTTTCTTTCTAAGATTTTATTTATTCATGACACACACACACACAGAGAGAGAGAGAGAAAGAGAGGGAGAGAGAGAGGCAGAGACACAGGCAGAGGGAGAAGCAGGCAGGGGCCCGATGTGGGACTCTATCGTGGGACTCCAGGATCATGCCCTGGGCCAAGGGCAGGCGCCAAACCACTGAGCCACCCAGGAATCCCTCTTTCTTTTTAAATCAAACTCTCCTCTTTCTTTTCTGCCCTTAATTAACAGTTAGCTTTGCACAGGTTCTCTGTTCTCTAAGAAGTGGATGAGGCTCCACTTTCCATATCAGACAAAAGTCTGCTAGGATTCTAAGATTAGACATTTACACATGTTTACACCTGCCCACACCTGGCCTGGGCACCTATCCGGCTCTGGCCCCTCTGCCTGTGGGCCACCTGCAGTGATGCCCACGGCACTGCAGCTCCTACTGACAAGCTGCTGCTGCTGCCCTTCACCCTGATTCAGGCCAGCTGAGGACCTGCTACAGGACAGGTTAGGGTCTCTTTTAAAACGAACAAAGGGGGCAGCCCAGGTGGCTCAGGGGTTTAGCGCCGCCTTCAGCCCAGGGTGTGATCCTGGAAACTCGGGACGGAGTCCCACATTGGGCTCCCTGCATGGAGCCTGCTTCTCCCTCTACCTGTGTCTCTGCCTCTCTCTATCTTTCTCTGTGTGTGTATCTCTCATGAATGAATGAATAAATAAATAAATAAATAAATAAATAAATAAAATCTTAAAAGAAAACGAACAAAGGGTAGTGGAAAGGGAGGTGGGTGGGGGGATGGGGTGACTGAGTGACGGGCACTGACAGGGGCACTTGACAGGATGAGCACTGGGTATTATAGTTTATGTTGGCAAATCAAACTCCAATAAAAATATACAATCAATCAATAAATAAAATGAGCATAATGGATTCAAGCAGCATGTGGTGCATTCCAAAGACATCAACTCCCCAAGTGGGTCCCAGGACAAACATGCATGCACATTGTGTGCCTAGATGACAATCTTAGAGCTCTAATCTGGCTAACCTGATTGGCCCCGATCAGTCTAGCTGTCCAAGAACTGTATGATTTTTATTCTCCTTACCTGAGACACCTGAAAAACTACCAGGGTTGATACTTACAGCGACTTTATATGCGGCTTCTATGTAAAAAACAAGATTCTGTATGAAGGCCACCTCATCAAGGGTAAAAATGATACGTAAACCTAGCAAAGAGAAACAGACAATGAAGTTAGAGTTCTGTTGTGAAGAGAAATGTGTGTGCTGCCAATCACAAATTACAAATATCACAGTAGGAAAGAAATTCTTGCACCCCCTTTTTCATTTTTCTTCCCCCCCCCATTTTCATTTTTCTTACTAGGGCATCAAAAATGAAGTCTGAAGTAAATTGAAACAGATAATGTCTAATCTCAGAAAGAGAAAGGAAGGAAGGAGGGTGTGTCTATGGGTAGAAAAGACTGAAAGAGGTGTGGGGCCTTTTAAAGTATGAATTTTGGGGCAGCCTGGGTGGCTCAGCAGTTTAGCACCGCCTTAGGCCCAGGGCATGATTCTGGAGACCCGGGATCGAGTCCCACGTCGGGCTCCCTGCATGGAGCCTGCTTCTCCCTCTGCCTGTGTCTCTGCCTCTGTCTGTCTGTCTGTCTATCATGAATAAATAAAATCTTTAAAAAAATAAAATAAAGTGTGAATTTTTGAAGCTGGTAGGAATATGGTAAGATACGAACTCTTACATCAATGGGGGTAGTTTTTTTTTAAGATTTTATTTATTTATTTATTTATTTATTTATTTATTTATTTATTTATTTATGAGAGAGAGAGAGAGAGAGAGAGAGAGAGAGAGAGAGAGAGAGAGAGAAGCAGGCTCCATGCTGGGAGCCCGACGTGGGACTTGATCCCAGGTCTCCAGGATCACGCCCTGGGCTGAAGGCGGCGCTAAACCACTGAGCTACTTGGGCTGCCCCAATGGGGGTAGTTTAACTAGCAAACTGTTCTGAAAACAATTTGGTAATATATATAAGTAGCCTCTGAAGGATATCTAACAGAAGGAAGCAAGGAGAGATGGGGTCAAAATTGGTATTATAGGGCAGTGCCTGGGTGGCTCAGTCAGTTAAGCGGCAGTCTCGATTTTGGCTTGGATCATAGTATCGGGGTCCTGGGATTGAGCCCTGTCTCAGGCTCTGCACTCAGCAGGAAGTCTGCTTGAGGATTCTCTCTACCTCTCCCTCTGCCATCCCTGCCACACTCTCTCTCAAATAAATAAATCTTAAAAAAAAATTTTGGTATTGCAACATTAGTTATACTAGGGGAAAAAAGAATAAGGTAATAATTTATGGTATATCCATTGATAAAGTCACTGAAATTGTGTTTATGAAGACTTGTAAGATCATGGGGTAAACTCTTAGGTTATAATGCTAAATAATAAAGACTACTATTATGCAAACAAGATGATAAATAGAAAAAAAAATAATTTAGAGGAGAGACATTCAAATGCAAATTGGCAGGGAGATTTTTTTTTCTCTTTGTATTTTGTTATATCTTCCAGGCTATTTACAGTGGGCTCATATTAATTTTCATAACCAAAAAGTATTTTTATAAATGCCTGGTTTATTCATAAAACTGTAACAGTATTATTTACGGATTTCTGCTGCCTTTAGAGTTTCACCTTTTCAGTCTGAAATACATGGGAAGCCTCTAACTCAGAAGGCCAGGTTACTGAACTGGGGATAAGAAGTCTGAGACAGAGCAGCTAAGTGACCTAACCCCTGGGGGCCATCGCAGTCGACTGCATCATGTGAGACACCATTTGGTTAGCAGAGATATACGGCAGTCTGGAGCTCAGGAGGCCCAGTGTCCAAGCTGCCATGGAAGCCGACAGCTTGGGCTGCGGAACAGTGCTCAGTCGGGGAGTACTCCCAGCATGGAGGCTATGGACCTACTGACCACTCTGGGCAGACTGCCAACTTCTACAAATTACATTGTTTGTATATAATTCGGGTAAATGAAAGTGTGTCTAGAAGGGGGTGTGAGAGGAAAGGGGGAAGTGGCAGGGCCAGCTTTGGGGTCAACAGAGAAGGCTGACAGAGCTGGCTCAACGGACCTTTGTCCTCTAGGTCCTCAGAAGGCTCGCTGTCGGCAAGTCACAGAATCAACGTACACAATATTATAAAAATGCATGCTTTTGCTTTACAGAAATAACTTATTTTGAATTTGGATCAATGCCTGCCCCTCCCCATCCCCTCCTGGATCGCCACTCCTTGTACAAGGGGCCCCAAGGGCCCTGGCTCACCAGAGGCAGTCATCTGGGCCAGGAACAGGAGGAAGAGGGAGGTGGCATCCACCTGGAGGTGGCCCCACTGGTCGTCACCTACCACGGTGCTGCAGGTGGCAGTGTTGTACTTGGCGTGCAAGCTGTCTCTGGTACTCTGAGTGTGCTTGAACTTCTCTACTTTATCCACCTGAGGGAGAGAGCAAGCCGGCTCCACAGTTATGGGGTTCAGAGCTGGCAGAAGCCACACCCAGGGTTCATCGCTTGGGTCTGGACCTCTCATCTGCTACCTCTGGGAGGCAGAGAGATAGAAGGCAGTACGTGTTCACCATGAGCACCACACACAGGGGCTGTGCGGGGGACTCTTCCTGCCCACACCAGGGATGTCCCAGCCCAGCAGGATTTCAACAAGCTCTGCAGGGCGAGGGGTCAGGCCAAAGGGTTTCCTTGTCTGCATATACCCCACATGAGCTGTGACACATGGAAGGTACTCAGTGAAAGAAAGGGGAAGAAAGAGGGCCTGTTTCAACTTCTGCTTCTCATTTCCTTATGTCAAAAGGAAAAGAGCAACTAGGTCTTTGAAGGCTAACCAGGAACATGCGGATGAAGAATAGGGACAGTATCATTCATCGTGGAATCTGTGCAGATCCTAATATGATATTCTGTACACAGTACGAGCTCAGTGTATTATTTTATTTACTCCTCACTGAAAATACCAGCAAATAATAATGCTGACTTGTAAAAACTTAAGCATTTTCAACTCAAATGAAAAGAAACCCTTTTATACACTCAACAGAAGAAACAATACTATATGGTTATCTGGGAGTGGCTTTTAAGAACAAGGATTTCTTCCCCACTTAAAAAAAAGTGCATGCTCTCCTTTTACATAAGTAACTCTTCAAAGGAGATTCTGAGAAACAGAGTCCTTTGAGTCTGCGATTCTATAGTATAAGATTATTGAAGATGATTTTAAAGGACAAAGCAAGCAAAGTATTTTCAACTTCTCTTCCACTTAAGAAAAACTCAAAATGTTTTAGGAATGTTCATTGTCACCACAAAAGTGACAAAATGCCCACTCAGATGACCTGAAAATACATTTGTTATTTTCCACCTACCTGTCTCATCATGCACTGGAGAAGACCCCGCATCAGTTTCACCACGTTCTGTGGAAATAAAGTGGGATCGGTGACAAAGCCAGCTTCCCTGCTCCAGGAAAACAACCTCCTCACCACATGGTCCATAAGCCAGGGCTGTCTGGCGTCTTCTCTGAGAAGGCACACCCTGAGCATATACACGTATTCTGAATGGTTAGATTATCTCCACTCCACTGCGAAGAAAGAAAATCTTGATGCAGTGGCTTCTCTCGAATAAAGGGGTTGCACCAGATGGCACCTCCAGTTCTGAAACCCAGGGACTCCTCACTGGTATTTTAGCAAGACAATTTTGTAAGCCTAGTACCCTGATGCTTAATTCTGATATCACAATTCTTATTTTTGTTATGCCAAAGATGAATTAAGCCCACCATGACTGCCCCAAAGTAATGATGCTTTGCCAAAAAGGCCATCTGTGACACCATCACTGGACTATTGAGTAAAGTTCTTACAAAATGCAAGTAGCTGCCAGGGTTTCTTAATATGTATTGCCATCAACTATTATCATTATCATTATGAACAATAACAGTACTGTGAAAATCAGACTGTCTCTCCAGGTGCTGTACAAAACACTTGACCTGGATTCTGTCTAATTCCTGCAACAACCTTATGAGGCAGATGTGATTGTTACCCTGCTTTATAGATGAGGAACCTGAGGCTGAGAGATGATGCAATGTTGCTGAAGTCTCCCAGCGGGCAGGGGATAGAGAACAGAGCCCACACTGTCAATACATTATGTTGCCTCCCACTTCTTCCACAATTCAGACCTATCAAAAGACTGGTCTTAAGCTGTCCTATTAAAAACATGATAAAAAAAATAAAAAATAAAAACTAATTCACAAGTAGCTGCAGAATGGAATTATTTTGTAGGTTGAAGTAGCCCAGTTGAAAGAAGTTCCCACCCAGGACCATGAGCATCTCCTCTCTTGTAGAATGTGCACGGTCTGCAGGGGAGCAATGTAGTGAAAGGCCACGAAAGTTCATTACCAGAGAGAAGTCTGGAATGAATCATCCTCCAGATCCTTCTGCCTCTAAAATCCTATGATTCTAGAATACCATCTCACTTTATGTCATAGACTCTTTGGAGGCAGAAAACGTTACCTCCTAATAAGGTATAACAAACATCGTTATAATTAACATATCCTATAGTGGATAGCACAAATATTTGTCAACCGATTTCCCCTTGAATAAAGTTATTTCCAATATGCAGAAGCACGGTGGTTCCCAACTGGAGGTGACATTCTCATCCCCCAGAGGTGGAGGAACATCTGGAAATGTGGGGCTGGAGGCATTTTTATTGTCACTATGATGAAGGTGGGTACTACCAGCATTTAGTGAATAGGGACCAAGAAGCCTAAGTGTCCTGCAATGCACAGGACAGTCTCACACAATGAGTAACACTACTTCCTATGCCCCAAATGAAACAGCAGCCCTGTTAAGGATCATTGGAAGATCCCATGTTATCCTCCATAATCAAGGGAAATGTCTCTCTTTAGTTATTAACAACACTCAACACAACAACGTGGCCTGTTTGTGCCTCACTACTGTCATTCATAGCACAACAAATCTAGTCAACTCTAGCCTACATCAGAAAACACTTAGAGAGGAGAGGTACAGGGTGTGTGCATGCGAGGGCATGTGTAGACAGGCAAGCTTTACTTTGATTTTGTCTCAAAGGAGGATGGGGAGTTTGGTGAACACCCAAACTAAATTACTATACTGCTAAAGAATGATTCACTTATTTAATAATCATCCAACTTCTTGGAAGAGCATTCAGTGCTTGCTGCAAACGTATTTTAAAACTACCTCTTGCCTTACCTCCAAGACTTGGTGATTTCATCACCTTACACTCAGCATATCTAGCCAAATCCAAACCGTCCTTCCCTTGCTCCCACAGACAGGCTTCCTCTGTTAGTTTCTCTATCACCGTTAAGGCTGCCTGCCACGCCTGCCCACTTTGGTTGCTGTAACAAGCACTGATTGGGCAATAAGAACTCTCCCTGAACCTGATAATCTGCTGGCTGTGAGGGCCAATGAGGAGCACGTGAATCAAAGATAAATCCCAAAGGCTCTCATGCTAAGAGAACTACACTGTTATATGTCAATGCTTCCTACTTCAAAGCTATCACTCAAAATGCTCTGAAAATACCTCCTACGCTCAAGGGCAGATTATTTTCTTACATATTCAATGATAGCAAATCTTTGCTTTGGTGAACATGTTGATTTCTGATTTTGGAAATCAATAAAAGGACTTCATTGTGCTGTACAGGAACATAGGCATGAATATTGGACAACACCAATGTGGTTCAAAATTAAAGGGTGACTATAAATTAATAAGACTGCTTTGGAATGGTTCAAACTAGAAAGGAATTTCTAAGGAAAATTCCAAAAATGTTTTAAGCAGTAGCAATACTGTTTGGTTAAATACCCTTTCAACATGACTACTCCAGACTACTACACTTTGGAATGTATATATCTGGTGTGCTGACTCCTTAAAAACAATCATATTAGTTTATAATGACATTTTGTATATAAGTATATATAAAATTGACAGAGCATGTGTGAAAGAAATGTAGCTAGTTACAAATTTGAATGCTCTCTTTTCCCTTTCTCCCTTTCAGAATAGTGATTTTTGTCTTTTTAAGGAGGGAAACAAATCTCAAAACGACCAAGGAGAAGTTGAGAACTAAGGGCCTCCCTAAAATATTTTATAGCAAAAATGGAGGTGATGCCTACACCCAACTCTTCCGCACAGCTACTTCCTTGTAGGCTTTTCAGTTCAAGGAAAAGGTGCTGAGCAGCCAAGACATAGCTGCCAGTCAGCATTACCTGCTCCAGCTCGTAGGCTTTGGCCTTGTCTTCATCACGGTCGGCATTCTTGCGGTAGGCCATGCCCAGGCCCCACACAGCCAGAATGCTATAGATGTTATCCCGTACCCAAGCATCCTTCTGCTCATGACTGGCCGACAGCAGCCCCGTGACAGGATTCTATTAGAGAAGAGACACAAAATGACTCAGCACCACCTTCACCCAGCTCTTGGCAAATGAATGCTCACCCTAAGAGGGCCCAATGAGGGCTGAGGTAAGGAGTAGACACACAAGTTCTACTCCTTGCTCTGCCACCAACAGCATGACCACGGGTGAGAAGGGACATCACTTTTCTGGGCTTTGATTTCCTCATCTGTATAACATAAATATTAGACTAGAAAGTCTCTAAGGAACCTTCTGACTCTGATGTTTTATTCTTTTGCTTTCAAACCAGATCATGCTATGACAAACAGAAGAAACAACAAAGTCTACACAACTCTTAAAATTTTTTTTAAGGTTTTATTTATTTTTTCATGAGAGACACAGAGAGGCAGAGACATAGGCAGAGGGAGAAGCAGGCTCCCTGCAGGGAGCTCAATGTGGGACTCGATCCCAGAACTCCGGGATCACGCGACCTGGACCAAAGGCAAAGATGTTCAACCACTGAGCCACTCGGAATCCCACAACTCTTACAAATCTGTGCACTGAAAGCTTTAGGTCTTCTTCTGCTTTCATGTTTCCACACCAGTTGGTGAAGTGCTGAACCTGGGAGGGAGAGACCTGGATATAGGGTCCCACTCCACCAGCCTAGCTCTATGTGCCAGGGGAAGTCGCCTACCCTAACTGGGCCTCCACTGCCTTGTCTGTGAACCCAGATGCTTCATGAGCCCAAAAAGGAGACACTAATAAGCAAGAGGACATCAGGGGGTCCTATGTAGCTAGATATTTAAAAGGGCAGCTGAGTCACTAAAAAGCCAGATCTTCACACAAAAAAAATATATACAATATTCCTAACAGAATTATTCATAATGACCCAAAAGTGGAAACAACCCAAATGCTCATCAATTGATGAATGAACAAAATGTGGTCTATACAAACAATGAAATATTACTCAGCAATAAAAAGGAAAGAAATACTAATACTATATGCTATAGCATGTGTGAACCTTGCAAACACGATGCTAAGTAAAAAAAAAGCTGGTCACAGAGGACTGCATATTGCATGATTCCATTTCTTTATAATGTCCAGAATAGGCAAATCTGTAGAGATAGAAGATAGATTAGTGGTTGTCTAGAGCTGGGTTCAGGGGAAGATGGGAGGAAGTGGGGAACGAGTGATTGTTAACAGGTTTCTTCCTTTCTAGGGGTGATCCAATTGTTCCAATGGACCATGGTGATGATGCACAACTCTGTGAATATACTAAAAATCATTACATTATTTACTTTATTTATTTATTTTTTTTAATTAATTATTTATTTATTTATGATAGTCACAGAGAGAGAGAGAGAGAGGCAGAGAAACAGGCAGAGGGAGAAGCAGGCTCCATGCACCGGGAGCCCGACGTGGGATTCGATCCTGGGTCTCCAGGATCGCGCCCTGGGCCAAAGGCAGGCGCCAAACCTCTGCGCCACCCAGGGATCCCACATTATTTACTTTAAATAGATGAATTATATGATAAGTAAATTATATCTCAAAGAAGCTATATTTTTTCAAAAGCCAGTGCCAAAGAACTCTGTGCCTAGAAATAAAATAGGTAGGGTAAAAAAAGAGTCACATAAAGATAAAGCCTTGTTGACTTTTCCTGAAAATATGCAAAGAAATATGTATCTAATAAAATACATCTAATTAAATATAGAAACTTCCCAGCTTAAAGTTATTCAAAGGGGTATTAAATTACTTACAAGAAAGCTCATGAAAAAAGTGGGGGTACTTTTTTTTTAATCAGATTTTATTTATTTATGTGAGAGAGAGAGATCATGAGCAGGGGCAGAGGGAGAGGGAGAAGCAGACTCCCTACCGAGCAGGGAGCCTGAAGTGGGACTCGATCCCAGGACCCTGGGATCATGACCTGACCACAGGCAGATACTTAACTGACTGATCCATCCAGTTGTATACTTTCAAAGTGACCCTACCATGGATATTAGGCCAAAATACTTTGGCATAGTTTCAAATGGTCCCACATAAGGAATTAAATATTTGGCTTTCTCCTTCAACTAACCTATGCCCTCTCCAAAAACATCTAAAACTCAACTGATACTGCCCTCAGGGGCAACAGTATTTTGTATTTTGACGCTGTTCCATAGCTAACAATTACAAATCAATCATTTTAAAGTCTGGAACTGAAGTCTAGAAACAGCTGAGTGAAGGTACGAGTCTTATTCCAACACTGGACGATTAGAATTTTTAAGAATATCAGTATGCACCAACAACATATAACATGAGCAACTCAAACTATTCTGAGGCCAGGTGGCTAATCCCAAGACAGCAAACCATCAGGAGATCCAGGGAAAGAAATCATCTCCTTTCTGGCGTACCCATCAACCATAAGCCCACTGAGAAAAACAGCCTTCCAATGGCACAGCAGTGACAACTTACACATAGTGCCAAGTGTGGTTTGGATTATGAAATCTCACTGTCCTGTTAACTGCAAGTTAACTTCTTTGACTGTTGAAGCAGATCAGCTTATCCCCACACAGAGCTAGAATGTCTGAACTCCTTGTTCCACTACAGAGACACAGTCTGGGTATTTTGGAGATCCCCACATTCAAACGTGCATACTCAAACCATGTTAACTTGGGGTGCTACTGCACTCAGTGAAAGGAATACTTACTGTTATGGACTGAATGTCTGTGTCTCCTCATATGCATTCATTCATTCATTTTAAGTAAGCTCCATGCTGGGCTTGAATGAATGCAAGGCTTGAACTCAGGACCCTGATATCAAGACCTGAGCTGAGATCAAGAGTCAGACACTTAACCAACTGGGCCACCTGGGCACCCCATCTCTCCCATAGTCATATGTTGAAATCTAATTCAATGTGATGCTATTTGAAGGTGGGGCCTTTGGGAGGCAATTAGGTCATGAGGGTAGAGCCCTCATGAAGGGGGCCTAGTGTCCTTTTAAGAGGAGGCCAGAATGTTAGCTTGCACTCTGTCATGTGAGGTTGCAACAAGAAGCTGGCTGTCTACAAGCAGGAAGAGGGCACTCACCAGGACCTGATCATGCTGGCAGCCTGATTTCGCACTTCCCAGCCTCCAGAACTGTGAGAAATAAATTTCTGTTGTTTAGGACCCCAGTCTGTGCTATATGTTATGGCAGCCCTAGCTAAGATGTGCTTCTCTCTTTAAGTCTATAAAAAATAACGTGTTGTGTTGTAAGATGTGGGAAGTTCTATTTTGATGTAATTCATAATAACTGAAATGAGTACAGACTGGGAGACACTCTGCTGTGATGGCCATTCTGCTGTCCCTTCCCCTAAGGCTGAGCCAGTGGGTTTGCCTTTGTGTGACTCCCCTACTTGGAGGTGGCTTATGTTGTACCCCCCACATTCTCACTCACTGGCTTCTGTGACCCACCCATCAGTCCATCTCTATAGATCTCTGGGGTCTTTTACTTGCACTAGCTATCTAAATGGAGGGGGAACAGAAGGCCTTTGTAGCTGAAGCTGATGCGATGTTACAAGCTAAAGAGAAACAGGCAAACTGCAGTCAACAGGAGCAAAGTGAGTAGATCTGTTTAGGCTAAGCCTATGGCCTCTGATATGATCATTTTAACTATATGCTGCTTTCTAATCTTTCAAAGATATAATTTAATTCTATCAATATTCACACATAACCTTCAGTGTATTGTATTTAGGAGCACAGGTTCTGGAAACAAACTGCCTGTGTAAAAAGTTCTACCACAATCCAGCTGACCTTGGACAAATTACTTCCGCGTCTCCATCTATCTTATGGGGATTAGAACAGTACCTAGACCTCATAGGGTTGTTTGTGAGAATTATATGAGTAAATTAATATCAAGCATTTTGGACTATGTCTAGTACAAATTAGCTCAATAACTGCTATCTATATTATCAACCTATTTGAACAGATTTTATTCACGTTATTTTTTCATATAATTATTTTAGGAAATCAGATGGAGACAGTGGTTAGGGGAAGAATCTACAAGTTACCTTAATGTAACCATCATTAGTTTTGTTAGGGGAAGAAAAAAAAGCCTGGTGCTTTCTTTTATTTTTATAGTAAATACTGCTGTGGATATATTTATTCCATTGATATGTTTGAGACAAAAACCCTCTACACCCTCTCCACCTCCAGGTCTTTATCTTTCCCTTTCTTTAGCCCAGAATTTTGCTCAAATAAATCTTCCCTTTCTGTTTCTTTTACTAAACTCTCTGTGTACTTCACCTGAAAAAATGAGTGACAAATTCTGTAATAAGCATCACTACCTCTCAACAACCATTTCCTGAGGTGACAGGTATGGGTCGTGAAGGAAGAGGATGGGGCCAAATGCAGACAACAGAGCTACTAGGAGAGCCATGAGGAGTCAATGGTAGTGTTCCAGTGTGGTATTAGAAGAGATGGCACAGGCCTGAGCCAGAGAACTCAGCACCCCTGCTGCAAGGGAACCGACAATGACATCCTTAAACTTTAGAAGAGGCCTGAGACAAATGAACCCAACATAAATTGTGTCTCACTGAGGGCAAGGAGCCAAGAGCTGGGCATTTTTGTCATTCAGGTTTAGTCATTTGTCAGCCCATCTTACCTTCTCTACCACTTCTTCACTTCTAATTTAGAGAAAGTGCCCTTTTTTGGCTCCTGTTTATGAGAGAAAAGCCTAGAATGAATAAGGCCCAGGCCTGGGCCTCTGTGCTGTGGTAACAGACAACACTAAAATCTTGGTGGCTTATAACAATGAATATTCATTTCTCCTCCATGCCTCGTGTCCATCCTTGGTAGCCTGTGGTTCTGCTCTGTGTTGTCCTTCCTCTAGGAACCAGGCTACTAAAACAGCCTATACCCACAACACTGCTCATCTCATGGCAAAGGACAAGAAACACAGCAAACCATGAACTGCCTCTTCAGGCTGCTAGCCACAACTGACACATTACATCTCCTCTTATCTCATCTGTGAAAGCAAGCCTCACAGCCATTTCTGAGTTCAACAAGGTAGAAATGTGA